CTCAAGTTGCGGGCACCCTTTTTGGAATAATTGTTGTAAAGCACGCCCAGAAGGTTAGAACTTAGAACCAAACCTTTGTGGTTTCATTTGCACAGACTAGGAGAGGTCATATAGGATTTCCACCCGGTCCATAGGGCCCCCAAAGGCCCACAAGGTTTGATAAGGACACTGGTCAGGAACCAGTAGGCTTTAGAATTTACAACACCAAAAAGCGCTCATATGTCCTGAAAAATTAACGCTCAAACTTCCAATTATAAGTGCTCCAAACCACGGTTCGCCAGAAATAAGTGTTACAAAGGATGCTTCAGGGAGTGACTGGAGGCTTCAACCATGTTCAACCATGTTCTACCTTCAAGACTACTATAGGGAGGATTTGACTAGGTGACTAGACCCTAAAGGTGTCCATGTCATGGCTTTGGCAGCTTTCGCCCATCCAACAAAGCCATCAACGGACCTTCGAGCCGTGAGCCCGTAGCATGTCGCTCCCGAAGCGCCGGGGGATCACTCCGAACCGGGTTGGCCAGCGGTTGGGAAGCGGCGACCGTGGAACTCCGGTGGAGCACAAACGCACCAAAGAGTCTAAATGAGGGGTGAGTTGGGGCACATGGGCTCTCGAGACTCTCGAGCAACAGTGCCAGCATGAAGTTGTGAAGCATCAGTCAGCTATAAAGAAGAACAGAACGCGTTGAAAAGTTCAACAGCTACTACACTATTCCCAGGACTGTTGAACTTTTCCTATATAATAAGTATAGTAGTTGTGGTACAGTTCCCAGCTACTGCCCCACCAGGACTGCTTCCGGATCAGCTTCCGGGCGTTCGCCCGGCTTTCGGTCCGCCGGGCCTGGTCCGCTCCGAAGCCCTCGGTGTTCCGAACTGCGAACGTCAGTTTGCCAATGATGCCTTGGACAAGTTTGAGAAGAAGAAGCAGGCGCCGGGATGGCAGAAGACGGCGTTTTTGGCAGGCTTTTGGTCCATTTTTCTTTCTTCAGCTCAGCTGAAAGACGACCACATGTGAAGACGACTGACGGTGTCAGTCTCGGCTTCAGAGCTTCAGCAGCGAACTTGGAACTTCTACCCATTTTCAAGATAAACATATCTGACCAAGAAAGCTTTGAGAGCCACTCGGACCTTGATTTTGTACCCGAACATCAGTGATTTTGTACTTGAAGGGTGATCGTCCATAGTTTCGGGTATGTAGACTCCCTATATTCAATCAGACATTCACAAATTTAGGAACACTTATTTATATATAAGTTACACTTTATATAAAGCATGTTCATGATCCGTGATTGGACTCATGTACCTGCTTGGCCTATCCCATGGCTACCTCCATGGCGTCATCGGTCTGTTCAGCACCGTCAGCACCGCTCGCAGCTCAGCTCGCTGTGCTCAGCACCCGCAAACCGCACCCGCTCAGGAGCTCGAGAAGCTGGAAGCGCTGCTGGAGCGTTCGGAGCCACAGAGGTCTTCGGAGCGTGGAAACTGGAAACGGTGGGTGGAGGCGGGTGGAAATGAAGGAAGGTCGTGGGAAGACGCGAAAGAACAGACAGATCGAGCGAACAGGAGGGGAGTTCAGGTCATTGGGTGGCGATCATAGTGATTTGATGTGATCTGGGTCACGATTAGATACCCCAAGCATTCCCAAAGCAGGTTGACCATGTTTGGGGTGTCCCCCTTATGTTCATTTTGGAGGTCAAGGAGGTGGTGTGGCGTTTTGAGGTGTTTTGGACCCAGATCAAGTGCCAGCAAGATGCCAGCAAGGCATTTTCAGGAGAAGTGAGAAGTGCTTCTAAAAGATTCTACTGTAGAAGTGTTTTTTGGCCACTGAGCAAGAAAGCAAGTAGTTGGAACAACGCTTCTGCTCACTTGAGCAATGTCAAGTTGCTGCTTGTGACATCCTGTGACATCGAGGTTGTAGGAGGGATGCCTTGGGCGAGTGCGGCAGCTCAGTATGAAACAGGACGAAGAAGAGGCACACAGAGACCATCAGGGATCTAGGGAGGGAGAGAGAGAGGGCCACATGATTTCACTGGAGACTCTGGATTTCACATGATTTCACTGCTTGGGCGAAACGAAACAAGACGCGCCACTGCGGCCACTAGGCGAAAGCCGCCCAAGTCCTTGAAAACCGCCGGAGGACGGGCCGTTCGGATCCGGCTAGGGACGCCCGGGATCCGGGCCCGGGTGGTTTTGCATCCGGCATGAAGAAACCAGACAGATGCCTTGCTTCAAGGACCAGGAACCCAAACCAAAAAGCGCTTTCAGTCTGCGGTGTCCCCCTCTCCATCAAATTAGATGCCTAATGCACTGATAACTCGATGCCTGATGCATGCCTGATGCATGCATTTGCAATATTTTGCAATCAAATTGATAGTGAGGGGAATTGCCCCGCAGCAGACTACAACATCATACAACATCCATACTTTTCACGTTTTGGATGTGAAGCACAACTAATGACTATAGGTGATGACCAGGTGATGACCTCGCCCAAATGACATGTCTATGACTCTTCGATGTAATTTGTTTCCGCCGGTCATGCATAGATCATTCCTGGGAACTCTTTGGAAACAAAAGAGATTCATTCTCAGCTTTCTCTTCGGACTCTTGGTCTCCGGTCATGGGACCGTCAGTGTTGGGCATCCGAAGTGTCCAATAAAACTTGGTGCATATCATGAAATCGACGCCGAACACAGAGGTGCATTCCATGGATCTGAAGATGTATTTTCTCCAGAGCCCACCGTGCCTGTCCGGTCTCAGAAATCTCTGAGCGGTTTCAGAGAAACAATTCTTTCGGCTGAGAACCATTTCTGTCCCATGCCTTTCTCAGAGGACACCTCCAAGTACGGTTCCCGATCGCCCGCTGCGAGCTCGATGGACAGATCGCCTAGGACATGTCTTGGTGTGCTTGGTGGGCGTTGCTTGGTCCGAATTCAAGGCTCCAGGAAGAAGGACCCAGAAGACTATAAGAGGGTTTTTGTTTGGGAAGGGTTGGTAAGGTTGGTTGTCTCATGACGTCTCATGTATACTGTATACGTCCTCTTTGCCACATCTATCCACATCTGCTTTTTTAGAAATATGTTGTAGCTTTAAAACGAGCATACTTCACACGAGTTGATGAACAGTCACACCCAGGCCTGGTACACATATATGGAACCTTGCTGGTACATATCTGGAGCAGTGTTTGGAGGTCCAGTTGACTCCTGCTTGATCCAATTTTAACACATGACCAAGCACGGTACCTGTTGGTGCCGAGAAAACACATGTCGAATTTGATTACATATGTTTTTTGTCCAAGAGGAGTAAACAGCATCGGTCCAGGAGCTAGGTTACTTGTCGATTCCCAAAAGAAGGTCAATATCTAGCATGCACCGTGGAATTGTATGTGTGATTCTATTTTGACATCCACTTTGAGCTGGTGCGCTCCTAATACAGCTGGCTTGTGCCGAGACGTGGCTCGTATCGCACTCAAAGCTCTGAAGGATAAGGCACCGCCCAGAGTTGTGGAATTTTGGAAATTTTCTGAGCCATCATAGCAGAATTGTTTTGCTTGTCCTTTCATGTACCCCTTAATTTCCAGTCCATCCTATAATGATCTACAGTATATATAGACAGACGCTCCAGTCGGATAGAAAGGCAGTCAAAGTTCACGCAGCTGAGGACACGGAAACCTCAAGCATTCCAGTGGGCAGCTCCAAGTTGAAGCTCGGCGCGAAGAAATGGAAGAGACTGGCACTCCTACCCAGGAAAAGTGGATAACCTGCAAAACCTTTTTGGAGGATTGGGGGCACCTCACCATAGACAAACAGTTGAAAAAGCACGAAAAAGCTCAACCTTTGTGGGGAACAGCTCGGCTCTCAGGAACAGACACACAGACACAGCAGGTCCTGTGGAGCAGGTGCCGATTGCTTTGCTCGATATTTTCTTGTGAAGCAAGACATCCACCAAAGGTACATCATTGGTTAATTTGGACATACTTGGACTGTTCTATGAGGCAAACGCCTGAACGTGTTCAATATGTTTAATGCAGCTGAACAAATATGCCATGCCGGTTTTGGGACAGGCTGATAAATGGAAGGAGGTGTCTTGCAAGTGCTACTGGTATTTCGATTTATCCACTTTGCAATGCAGCTAGATAGTATCAGCACAACTCTTAACAAAATCATGTGAAGCTGAGGTCTACTTTCAGATTTAAATGTGTCAAGACCCCCAGCATATGTGGTCCTTGTTTTACTGATTGATGCCCTTGAAACTGACTCTAAACGTTAGAGGATAGCATGGACACATGAGGCTTTCCAACAATGGACCTAAATTTTGGTCATTGTCGGTCTCCATTTGCTACCTGTACCGATGGAGGCACTTGGTGCGCACTTTGTACATCTTGCAAAAACAACAAATAATACGTCCTCACAGTCGAGATCATTCATTTATGTTGCTTTAATTCAGATTTTCAGTTTTTGGACCACTGGTGGCGGCGTTGACACCTCCACGGCCAACCGCAAAAAAGAACAAGAACAAACAAAGGCTTTGTTTTGCAATGGTTGGCATATCCTTCAAAAAGTAAAAATAGAAAAATATCCATTTGCCGAGGATGCACACCATGCTTTTTTTTGTTTTCCGGCTGCCGTCCACAGTCGACCCCATCGTGGGCTCAGAGGATTGGGACGCCCATCGGGACCGACTACTTTATGAAGGCACGCCTGCAGCGCGTGTTCGGACCGGGCATTTGCTCGTTTGTTGGAAGCTTCTTGAGGCACTGGGATGTGGAAGGATGTTGTAAGGTGATCATTGTTATTGTTCAAGAGAAGGTAGGCAAGAACTCCTAGTAATTATAGTATGTTTTATAACGCTTTCTGATACAGCCTGTGGCTATCTTTCGCTACGTTAGCTTGATTCAATGTGTCCGCTTGTTTGCCGCATGCTTGGGACGTTTGGTGCGTTCCTTACCAACAGCCACCAGTACCACTAGCAGGGCTAGTACTTTGCCCAGCAACACAAGTTAGCCAACGATAATAGGCTCTGCACCACACAGCTTAGCCAATGATAGGCTCTGCACTGTTTGGCTCCAGCCATCCCACACCACCCAGCATTCCTAGCCGCTGCCCTTGTGCAGTGCCTGCGTGATGATCGGCTCGAGCTGAATCAGGCGTTGGGCGTTGGGTGGCCGCATCGTGTCGCACCAGGAAAATAGGGGGTCAATTCATGGTGTGGCTTATTTGGATGGTGTAGATACACCGTACTTTTGAGCCATGGATATTTACTAAGAATGAAGTCATGTTCACTTGCTTCGTGGTTGTTGCCATGAGTTTTTGCTTGAAGGCACCTTCAGGGACGTGAAAGTGCGACCATCCTGCAGTCTGTTGTCGAACTCATAGCGATGGTTCGCTTGTGAACTTTCCCAAGCAAAAGGAATCAAGCCTCGCTGTCACTGTGGGGTGGGCATCAATGTCATTCCTCACATCAGGTCTGTTCAGATTTCCTTGGAACCCCCATCCGTATCATCCGTCTCACAGCAGTAACTGTGTGTGGTCGCCACAAGCAGGGCAGCCAACCCTCAGTGCTCTTCCTGGGCGAACTTCAGCCAGGAGCCCAAGGAGCAAAAAAGAGCCATGACATGTCAGTTGTGTGTGTGTGTGTCCCTCATTGCCAGTGTGTTATTGTGACTGGAGAGTATGGGCCCCAGAGCCCCCCATCTATAAGACATTTAGGAGGTTCTGCGGGCCCCCCTTTGGGTGTCCGTGATTTTCACCCTATCTCACTCTTCATCCCGTGAAAAAGCTGCAGGTCACGCATTGATCCTTTGCTGAGGCCTGCTGATTGGCACAAGATCTGCCACTTAGAACGAGCACGGGCACCCAAAGTCGGTCACATGCCACGAGCGTCAGGAGTCAGGGATGTGCCAGTTGCGTTTGGAGCGACTCTTGCGATGCTTCTCCATGGATCCAACATGTGACCAGTCACTCTTAAGATCTAATCAAGCCTTGATGCCTTAGGTTTTGGGGGCCCAATGTCTCAGGGCTTCACGAGTTGAAAATGCCTGGGAATGCTTGGTTTTGGGAAGGCCTATGTGCTAACTTTTGTTGGCTTTCGTTGATGGAACACCTCCCGTATCCCAATGAATCTCAGATGCATCGACGTTTTTTTTCATTGAACAAAAACAACAACACAAAAAATTACATTCATTATTTAACACCACCCCGTATCCCAATGATTCACAGATGCATGATGCATCGACGCTCTTTTTCATGGAACAAACATGATTTCATGCTCTCAGAGCCAATGCATGGTTAACAGCATCCAGAAGTTCTGATGCCGCGGAAAAGCAGGTCTCGACTCGGCGAGGACTCCTGTCGTAGACGGGAGCTGCCGGGATGCAAGGCCACGGCGCGATGAGTTCCCAGAATAAACAACCCAGTTTTGGAGGTCAGACCGGTCAAAGCCATGGTCGGTCTTGTTTCTTCTGAATCCGAGGTCTACTACATGGCTGGGTCGCCCCTGAGTGCCTTGGTTGCAAACCTCTGTCAGAGCTGCAGGGTGGAAGAGAAGAGGTGAGAAGCGGATGGGGCCAAGAGCTTAGCCACGACATGCCACGACGAAGGAGAAGGTTATGTTATGTTATGTTTGAAAAGTGTTTCTTTTCTTGTTCGTTGATTCAAGATTGAAGTAAGACAGTCTTATACAATCCTATAGTAAGAATTCGGTCTAAATAGTCTTGTTTGTCCTTCCACATGACAGCCTTCCGACTCTGCCCTCCAACACGCTCCGTGCCGAAGTCAGTCCCGCACCGGTCCTCCACGCTCCCCTTCGCTGGTTCGCGACCGGTTCTCCCGGTCGCGAATGCGTCAGGAGCCGAAGACCTGCTGCGTGCCGGATTGGAGAGCTGCTCCAGCGTCGTCATCGTTCCTTCGGCTGAGACGGAAGGAGACGCGCGGAGCGAGTAACGACGAGAGACGAAGAGAGACGGTCTCCGCGAGCGTGTACGCGAGACGGGAGGGAGGTGGTGAGCGTCGAGTGTTCTTGGATTGTTGTGCTGAAGTCTTACTGATGTAGGAGGTGTTTTGGAGAATGGGGTTTATGATGGGCTGCATGATATGTATACTACAGAAAACAATAAGCGAACATAAAAAAATATATTAAACCTATAATATATAGATCTGATTGTGATTTGTAAAACATATGTTGTGGTATGTTGTGGTTGTTGTTGTTGTTGTTGTACTTTTTTTTAGTTTTACTATAAAACAATAACGCTGTTGGTATCTGATAGTGAATAACATTATCTATGTTTAATATTGTTATGTACATATTCACAAAGCGTGCAAAAGAGTTGATGCACTCACTGGAATCCGGTGATTAGAATAGACCTCCCCCAAAAGATATGTTCAAATCCAGGTAAGGATAGTTAATTTGGTCAAACAAATATGTATCTCCATCACGTTTTAAACGTCCTTTTGAAATTTTGTGTGCGAGACCAAAGCCTCAAGGTGCTTCCCCTCCGCTTCCATGCGTTTGGGGGTAAAAAGAAGATGCAACCGATGAGAACTCAGATAATGTCTGAGGTTCGCATGCATAGTGGATCTGTGGGCAAGGCGGCAGCATTGTGCTTCGCATGGGTCGACGGACGCGCCGGGGCAAAGCAGAGAGATCTTGACCCGTTGTTTGAGATTAGAAGGACACATATGTAGAGAGGTAATCTAATGCGTCCCCGTGACATCCTCTCGGCTTGGTTACCATGACACACCACTTTTGAAGAGACTGAAGCAGCTCATTTGGACGTCCCATATTGTTTTGCTGGAGGGTGAGGGTTGAGGTCTGGGATGTGGCCATTGGACAACGGCTGGAGTCTGGAGTCCAGTAGCGGTCCTCAGAAGACTGAAAGCCACTGCCATTGGTTTTGCTGGACTCTTTTAGGTGGAGATTATGGATTAACTGGCCTTTTTGAGAACTCCATTCAATTGGTTAGGATCGACAGATACTATAGGGTCCTTCAATTGTTCTTTGTTTAGGGAAATCTTGTGGGGTGGCACGAAGAAACAACTAGCATATACACATCCTTGATGGCTCGAATAGATCCCTGTGGGCTTGGGCCTCGAGGGCCTACGTTCGGCACGTTCGGCACGTTCGGCAAAGCGGACCTCTTACATCAACCCCAGCCGGGGGGTCTGGTCCAGGTAGCTTCACTTGTTGAGATCGAACTCTTCCATCTACGAACAAGATGGAACAGATGCTCAACAGACCCAGCAGACCCAGGTGACGAAGTGTTTCCGCCTCGCAGGTGACGAAAAAGGCCGATGCTCGCGTGGTCCTCGCAGCGGTGGGGGCGCCCATATTGGGGCGGTGGGGGTCCTCCGAGGTATGGCAGGAACAGTAGAAGGTCATGGAAGGTCATAATAGGGAGATGCCTATTGGAATCCATTTGAGGATATTTGAGGTATTTTCTCCCAGATTCGCCCTATTTGAGGACCCAGCCCATGTTGGTGTGTGAATAGCTCATTTCGTTGGGAGACCGAGCCAACGAATCCCAACGAATCCCAACACTCAGATGGCTTTTCGTTCGGAAAAGGAACATAGACCCAGTTTGCCCATTGAGTTGGGTTTGGGTGTCTCCCTATAGTACAATAACACACGAAAACATGCCCAGCCACGTGAAGTGTGACCCCGAAAATCGGGGAAGGAGTCAGGAGTCAAGGGAGCAACGGATGGGGATGGACTGGGACTGCTCTGACCCCGTTGGGATCCACTGATCCAGCTGATCCACTGATCCAGCTGATCCACTGTTCGGTATCATTGGACTTGGACCCTCCAAGGAGTGTCTACATCAAAGTGTAGAGGCCCCATGTGGATTCGATAAACACTGATAAACATGACCAAGGTGTTCCAGGTGTTTCATGAATTTCCATGACAGTGCAAGAGCTGGTGTTCATAGTGGATCTTCGGGAGTTTTTAGCCCGTGAGAAGAACAGGGCTGGTGATGGGTATCCGTGGTTCAGTGGTTGAGCGTGCACTTATGTGTTGTGAATCAACTTGTAGGGAAGTGTGTGTTGTTTGCAACCGGCAAGGAGTTGACTGGCAACGTGAGTACACAAATAGAATACAGAACTGCTTATGAGCATTCAGATGTATTTATTTCCGTGTTGCTATTTTCTGAGTGCTTCTATACAACCTATGCTAGTCGGTCAAAGCACCACCGTTCTAGCATGTATTTGAGTCAGGTAAACTCATTTTGTTCCAACTTCGAAGCCCACCGTTTTGGAAGAACTGAAGCACCCTGGTGGTTGAAAGAAACAAAGCCTTCTTCGACTGTTCGACCATGCACCTTTTTCAAGCGTGCGCTCAGACGATGGCTGCCTACATGCTTCCCTTTGAGAAAGTTACACCTATTGCTGGGATCTCAGCACTACTGTCTTGCCCTACGCCTCCAAGTACCTCCTCAGAAGGGTATTTGGACCCTCCGAACCCACCCCAAACACCTTCTCAGAAGGTGGAAAAATGTTGTTTTCAGGTCGCGTACGAGGTGCGATGAAGTGGGAAAAGGTCACTGGCTGTCAAGTGACTACAGCTTGTCAATCAACTTATGGCATGTCAGACATATCAATCTATAATAATCTCTACATATATATGAACCTATACATATATACCTGGACCCTCCAACAGGTGTACTTAGTAACACCTGGTGACAAGTCCGGTGCCCAGGTTCACCACCAAACCGGTCCTGTCTTCAAACAGCCGCGTTCCTCCGGAGGGCCGAGGAATCCGATTGAATCCGATGTCCGGAACGCTCCGACCCAAGCCAACACGGTGAACATGCCAGACCCAAGTGACCGACCTGAGGAGTAGGTGAACACCTGGTGAACACACCTGGTGAACACCTGAATCACCTGATCACCTGTTTCTTTTGCACATGTTTGCACATATTGTTTGCGCTAGAGTTGTTCTTCTATTCTTGTTTGAACACACAGAAGTTCTTAGAAGTGTTCCATGAATGCGATCCGGCCACGCTGAGATCACGGACCATTGCTATCCTGGTAGCTGTGAGAACCTTAGTTGTCCGAATTGGCCGTCGAAGGTGTGTGGGTGCACCATAGCCACAGCAAGAAGCGCTGTGGAGATTGTCCCCACAAGAAGAGCTATATTGGATGGAGAGCAGATGGCACAAAGTGGTTTATGTTGGACCCCATCTAAAAGACATGTAGGGGTTTGTGAGTGGGTTTGTGCCATCTACTTTGAAGCTGCTGTATCTCAAAGCGTTTGGTGCTTTTGAACAGGTAGCACTTCAAGGAAGACCTGTCCTACTCGGCCAGTTTTCTGTGCGGACTGTTGCCCTAATTACATCGATTTGGGCATTGCTCCTCGAGCGTTCCAGTTGATCTAGTTACAGTGCTTCTGATAGCCCTCACGTCCTTCAGTGCTTCGATAGCGGCAGAGCGAACGATTCCCATGGATATGGGTCCAAGAAGGCCAGGAAATTCCAAGGTTTTCGCCGTTTCGTCCTTCAGCATAGGAGCTTGGGATGCTGCAATTTTGTGGGGCCCAAGAAGTCGGAATCAATGGTCAGTCTAGGGCCTTAGGCGGCCGGGCTGGGCATTCAATGCATTTTAAATGGGGCAATGTCCAATCTTCAAAACAACTCCGAAACTTCTGAGTGGACACACCCAAGCTCTCGCAGATTCATGGTGTGGACATGATGGATGGTTTCACCAAGATATTCTTTCTTGAAGCCACCTTCAATGTACCAACGGTTTTTCTCAACTGTTCAGCAGATGTGACGGGGATCTGCCAGAGTTTGCGAACATTGGCTGACCAAGCCGCACCAAACACGTGCCTCAGTGCCTCCCAGGTGAATTGCTGCCACCGGAGCGTGTGTTCATCGAGGCCAGGAGTATCGATGATCGGCTCGGACTCCGAACGGTTCGCTCGTGCAGGGCAGAAAGCGCCCGAAAGTCATCAGATCATGTATGCCACTACAATCATCGATTGGAAGCTGCAGATCATTTATGCCACTACATCAGCATCTTAGTTGGTGCCCGCTCACTGCCACGCCAGCGTTTGGGTCACCGGAAGCCTCGTCGCGTCTGGGGAAATTGATCATTGTGTATACCCTATAGAAGTCGAGTCACCATGGATTCAATAGCCTGAATCCCGAACAATCCATGGTTTTACGATGTTTTCCTCAATAATTCCTTAACTCTGCCTGCAAAGCGTTTGGCAAACAAAAACACATGGGTCGGTCCAACTCGACCGAAACGCCTTCGACCTTCGCCCGGACGGACGGACTCGGGCCTTCGACTTGGAAACAAAGAGCACTGGGGCAAGGTCTCCGACAGGTGGAAACGGACAATCACATGGGAATGGGAAGATGGGGAACACATGTTTGCTTTTTCACAAGGTAATTGTACAATGTGATGAATGTGCCTTCAGTTCATGACCGTCTTTGAGCTCCCAGCACGAGGTCACTTAGAGACTCCATGAGACTCCAAAGAGGTCACAAACTGAAGGTCCTGGTGGTTTGGGGCACCCTATCATATATATATATAAATATTACATATATATATACACATCCATCTCTTGGGTTGCCATCCAAGATACATAGCTCCATAAAGGATCAACCCCCTTGGACGATCTCCAGAACTGTTTCGATCGCCCCCGAAGCAGTTGGTCCGTCGAATGCCAGGAAGGTCCCTTGCTGAGCACGGCAATGGTAGGCCTTGGAGCCGCCGGAGAAGAAGCTGTTCAGATGAGACTGTTGGCCTTGAGCCGGAGAAGCTGAAAAAGGAACATGGACAAAAGGAACATGGAACATGATGAATCATGACGTGAAGTCTCCAATCTTGGAGGGGAAAAGGTCCGGGTTTCCCACAGATTTGGGAAGGGACAGTGAAGTCAAATTCAGCATCTCTTTTCCATGTGCCATGGTTTGATAGATATTGTTTCACTTGGAGATGAGACATATACGATGCTGTTTGCCCGTAAAGCAAGCTGGGATGGAGGTCTTAAAGGCCCCTGGCCCGGAAGATCTACTTTTTAGTAAGTAAGTGGGTCCAAAAGCAAGATCCCTTGGACATGCTGGTGAAGATCGGTTTTGTTGCCTTCGTTTCCAGATGTTGGACTGACTTGGGGTGAACCACGCTGGACTATGGACTATGGATATGTCATGATATGTCCGCCATTGAAGATCAGTCCCATATTCCATCATAATGTCCACCCATGAATCAGTCCCATCATATTCCCATCATTGCAGATTTGCCTCCAGTTCCAACTCTGCCGGCACCCCGTGGCTCCAGGCCCCCCGCCGGAGCTGCCGCAAGCGTTGACGGCGATCTTGAAGGGTACCAAGGCGGTGCTTCCGTCGTCGTCGCATGATGTTGTATGGTGTGGTGCATGGCATTTGAATGCATTTGAAAGGTACTTGGAATTGATATGAATTGATGTGTTTCTTTTTTTTCATGTGAAGCATTTTTTTAGTGGATGATACACTACATATGATTGTGAATAATATGGGCAGGCATTTCGGGGATACATATATATGTATAAATGTCTATATAACGTTATATATAGTATCATATATAACATATATAGAGATTTCTTGAATGATCAGGTTGGAAAGGATATGACAGGAGTCACTTTGTGAGGAGACAAAATCGGTCTCACGATGCACTGGATAGGGAGTTAGTTCGACGGTAGTGGCGTGTTGATCGACATAGGATGTACATTGGAAGATCAAAGCAACAACAAATGAGGTCACCGAGGCAGACCAGCTTTCCTCTGCAACGCCATTGCAAAACATCTTCGCAGACCACCAACAGAATTCCAAGCTGTTGGTATCAGGAACTGACTGAGTTGCGAATCACCAAGCTATACCATGCTGACATGGGAGTTCAGGCCAGAAACACCCACTTCACGTTCGCAGTGGGTGTGTGGGGGGAGGCAAATGGAGATCGTGTGCAACGATAGATGTTTAGCAAAAGAAACACCTGGTGACCTTCAGGTGACCTTCACACCTCGCCAAATTCTGGACCAAGTAAAATCTGTACACATCTACACTACACACCTTCACACCTCGCCGGCGTCTCTACATTTGGGGTTTCAGAATATGTGAAAACAACCACGACCCAGGTAACCAGTGGACTCTGTGACCGGAGGTTGTGACTCTGTGACGTCGCCAGGCTTTGGCTCGCTCCATTGGACTGGATGGGCGGCCACCGTCTCTTGGACTGGCAGCGGAGAGCCGAACGCTTTTTCGGTCTGTGTGGCAGCAACTGGGATGGCCTAAAGGAGAACCAGTAAGAAAAACATAAGAAACAAACAAAAGACGAGAAGGATGGAAAAGGTCTCCGAGTTGTTCCTCGTTTTTTGGCACACACACAAACATCTCCAAAAGCACATGCAGAGAAGTGCCTTAGTAGGATTTTGAACACATCCTTTTCATATCTATATTACGATAAGATGAGGATTCGACGATGTTGTTTTCTTTTTGCCGAGTCGCTGGTGGAATGTTGGTCTCGCATGGAGCTGGTGGCTTTTGGCCGCACAACATGCTGCCTAGGCCAATCATCGATGTGGCCAGCCTGGAGAGTGGGAACGTGAACGAGAAGTACGAGGCTTCCCATATTAGATGGATCTGGGAGCTTGGCAACTGGGCGACATGAATACTGAACCACGGGCGGGCAGATTTGTTTGGGGGGACATGGGGGGAACCATGATGCAAGAGGCCCCGTGGTTTATTTCCCCAAAGAGTATGGTCACTTAAATGGTCACACTGTCGGGGTTTGGCATACGTGCGTGAGATCGTTACTAGTAACAAGTGCATCGCTACTAGCTCCAAAAGAAAAGCGATGCACTTGGTACTAATTAGTAGCGGAGCACTTGTTACTAAGTGTTTGGTTCTCTCGAGATCGTGGTGTTTGTTTTCTTCTTTCATCCCTTCTCCGTCTGCTGAACCAAGCTGCGCTCGGAGTGCTGGTCCGGGGCAAAGCGGTCGTTGGTCTTTCACCACTTGAGCAAAGCGGTGAAAGGACTCGTATCCGTGACCTTCATACGACTCGTCCCTGAAGAGGTCACGGTCACAGCAAAAGCAGAGACTCCAAAGAGGTCACTTAGATTCTATAAGATCTATAAGTCTTAAAAAATCGACCATCTGAAGGTCTTGGTCAAGGTTTGTGTTCTTCCATGTTCTTGTTTCGCACCTTTGAAACTGGCGAGTTGCGGACAGCCAGTCGTCTCCACGAGTCTCGGCCGCAGGACATGGAGATTCACGACATCAAGTATCACCCCCGCTACATGCGTGGGGAGGCGATGGTGGAGTGCAAAACGGGACTGGACCGTCGGAGAATAGTGGCAGATCTGGGGTCTACATGTTGAACTGGAGGGCAGATTTGGCGCATTTGGTTGGGTGGAAAATGCTGGTTCGTGAATATTTGTTCTACCAATCCCAGATTTGGTGGTGCACCATACTCAGTCACATGCGACTTGTGGTCGAGGTTTTCCAATTTTTCTGAGTGAAGTGCCGATGAGGTGCCACTTGTTCATGCTGACTCGCAACTTTGCTAGTGGCTCCAAGCTGGCCAATGACCTGGCTAAAACACATCTTTGTCGCTGAAACCTATCCTCACGCAAAGAGACAGGCTTTTCAGAATGAAGCGGAGGAAGTCAAACAACCAAACGGTGCCTATTCCATCACCACCACGCAACGCACCCAGCCCCATCTTAGAAGGTGCGTCCGTGGATCCCCAAAGTTTGAACTTCTCCAAAACGCTGAGTTCAAGGACTCAAACGACTGTCATGCAGTCTTTTTCATGGAGCTTCAAACAGACTCTTGAAGGGCCCACATTCCCAAGCCACATTCCCACAGTTCCATGTTGGGGGTGGTTGCTGGAAAACACCCTCTTCTTCAGGTGTCCTGGACCATCTTTTCACACTGCTTCCCCTCTAAGATCATTGCTCAGAATTACAGCACTGGTCCTGCCGCTTTTCTAGCACCATTTGTTCCATATTCTGTCCCTTTTCATCGACTCAGATACAAAATCCTCCCTTTTTTTTCGATACCAAAACACCCTGGTCCTGCCTTCGTCTTCCTCGAATCCTGCCCTCCTGCCGCGGGTGTTCGGCCGCGGAACCGGTCGCCGAAGCCGCTCCCGGAGCAGGTCTTCTTCGCCTCGGTGGCCACCGCCATCGTCGCGTCCTCAATGCCCGGGGCGCCCAGACGAGCTCAGAGGAGGGTGGCGTGAGGGGCTGGGCGGTGTGGGGAGCTATATATACTAGCCTGCATGTTGGGCTGTGTGGGGTTTGGAGAGTGAAAGAGATGCATGTTGGGCTGTGTGGGGTTTGGTTGTTTTTGAGGTATGCTTGGTGGATGATAGGGGTCTGGGACCCTGGGATGATGTTTGGGTAGTTTGGGCGTCATGACAGTGATTCCTTTGGAGCTTTGAAACGGTTTTAACCCTTGGGGACCGTGGTTGGGTCACCTGCATGGGGACACTGTTGGAAAAGATGACAGCTGCCTATCGGATTGCTGACATAACAGGAGGCCATCCTTGGTGTTGTCGAAGAGATTGATATAGATTGACATTGATGCAAATCAATCCAATTTGGGTCTTGGTGGTCTTGGTTCATCTCAGTTAGCCGTAGCATGCCCAAGCCATGTAAAGCTGTTTGAGGATGGGCTCTTGGACAATGAACGACACATAGGGGATTATGGACCTCATAGACTTGTGAAAGCTTCTTCTTGAGAAGAAGATTAAGAAGGGCTGAGTAAGGACGTAGAGATTGAATTATCGAGAGATGATAGAGAGGAACTGCTTGAGACCCATCCTGAATCCTTGAGATGCAATTGTGCTTCCTTTGACCAACAAACAAATCAAAGTCCTCATTCCTCAATCCCACTTCAAACAGCGTTTTTCACAATGGTGACATCCCTGGACTGCCAAACATGCTCCCTTTTTGCATTTCAACAGCATTTTGTAAAATATGCCTTGTCCGGGCACGGTCCTAAAGACCATGAAACACATGAAATCAGTTCCAGGCAGGACATCCTTTGGAACTGCAGCCGAACCCCCCAGTTCCATGGTTTGAACACATTGGACATGGATTTCTTTCCCATTTGGCGGCAGAAAGCTGCTCCTCGAGGTACAATCCCAACTTGGTGCCCATGGTGGACAGTCTCATCGAGGCACGCGTTTAGACTCGCGTTTACACCGTGTTCAGACCGCCATGAATTCCGTTGCCCGTGGAATTTCCGGCCAAAAGCAAGGAATCCGACGGGCGCAAGATCGGTTTGATGTGGTGTACACATCCATAGATCACCTACTCTCACTCAGATTGCGCGTCTTTCGACATGCTTTCTTTTTGGGGAGGTGTCAATCTCTGGACTCTGGCGCTTGGGAATCAACTTGTTGACCTCTTGCGAGTACACACATGGCGCTTGGTGAAGGGCCATTGATAGGTGAAGTTGGTGGAACATGTTCCTTAAATCAGCCTACCCATATCATCCCAGTCCCAGTTCATGGTACCGAGTTTCCACCAATCTTGTTTGCCGATGCTTGTCCCACGGACGCTCCAATGTGGCAGGGACAAGGAATTCAGCCAGCACAGCTAGCGATGGAAGACATCGTCGATCCTATAAGTCTTGCTTAGGACCAAACACAGCTAGCACTTACATCAACACAATGCAATGTCATGAATTCAATATCTTAATTACATTTTGTATACTTCATACCTGTTGTGGTGGACCATCGAAGACGCCAAAAACTGCCAAGCACGCCCAAAAGCCAGCCGCTTGCGCCGCGGACTTTAGGCGCCGATGTTGATGATCGAAGTGCCCAAGGCATGGACTTGACGAGCTGTTGCTCAGGAGCTGTTGGGCTGGCTCGGCTCGCCAGGGATGGCTCGCCAGTTGGCTCGCCAGTTTCATTCTGATAGATTCCCCATGAAACAGGAACTCCCCTCAACATTCGGAGCAACCACGGGAGTCTCCAAAAAGCGCCAGGCGCTGAGTTGAGGTGTTCCTTTTAGAACTTTGGGGGAAGGCCGGGTGTGCCGGAGCGGCCACCCTGGGCCATATCCCCTGATGATCTCGTTTGCAAGCTTGTTTGAAAGATAACCTGCTGGCGGATTTGGGTGTGCATCAATGGGTGCATCTGCAAGTTCCGTGTATCAAACAGGGTATTCTGTGTAACATGGCTGGACCCAACTTCGTTGACCCGAGCAAGAACGACACAGGTACGACTGTACCGACTGTACCATTTTAATGAGGTATGAACTGAGGCGGGGGAGAGATATACACTACAGTCACTAAAGTAAAGCCCATTCTACTTGGGAGGTTCCCCTAGCCCAATGTTCTACTGATGATGTTGGTAGTAGATGGTATAGTAGATCTATCTATCATCCGGGCCCACCTTAGTCGATCACGTCTTGTTAGGACAAGTCATTGAAAGCCTCCCCCCTCGGAAAGGAACAGACACACAGTGCTCCACAGGCGATCGCGGAGGATCTGAGGGATGTTTATATTGTTCATGTAAACAGTTCCCGTTTGAAAGGTAGGCATGCCTCCACATTCATCCTCTTTTGACCCGTGCCGCACGGCCCCTCGTTTTTCTGAAACAGCAGCCAGGCTTAATGGACTGACCGATCTGTCAGCATGCCAGAAGTATAGATGAGTTATGATGAGTTATTCCAAAATTCCATTGGAAGCTTTGCAATGTCTTCCATTACATAAAAATGCTCGTTTGACAGATGAAATACATTGAGCCATGAACCATCACTCTTTCCTCTCTTTTTCGTTCATCGGCTGCATCGGCTCCAGAGTCCCCTGTCCGCGGTTGCTTGTCGCGCCTTCCTCGGCGACCGCATCGCGGACGGTTGGGGAGGTCTTCTACCAATCGCGGTACTCGGACTTCGTGCTATGGCTTTTGAGGCGCCCAGTCGCAGAAGTGAGCGACATGATGTTAGCGTTTGTTGATGCGAAAGTGATGTTGCGTTTGCTGGAGTTCATGTGTCCTGCTTGTTTTTAAAACAGCTTGCGACATGCAGAGAAGTGTTTTTTGTTGGTCCGACGGAAGGTTACGTTTTTGCTTGATTAATGCTTTTGTCATTGTACTTCAGGGCCCCAAGCAGCTGAAACCCGCTCTTCAAGAACAAGAAAGCTGCATCATCCCGTTTGAAATGTCCTCTGTGGAATCAGGGAACCAGGGTACTGAAAATGACCATAGAATGAGTAGTAGAATGGGTATACTCCAGTGACTCCATGAATTTAATTTCGGGATGCTGTACCCTTGACAAGGGGAGTCTTTTGGGTTTAGGACCAGGCTTGTGAGGTCCATGTGTTCTTGATGAAGAACCGAGAACCATCCGGCGCCTTTTCCACAGATCCAAGACCCTGCGATGATGCGGCGCCAGGACAGCATCTGATTCGAGGTGCTTCTTAAAAACAAACAAAACAATTGTGTAAGTCCTGAAGGAGGCGAAAGGGTGCAGATGACGGGTATTCCATGGTATTCTTATATATGTAGTTGTTTCTTCTACCTGGTGTATTCAGAGGAAAGCAGTATTCTCAACCAGTTGTTTGAAGCAGTTTCGCCCTGACTACTCCCCTAAACCCTAAACCGCTGCCTGAGCCTCCTTTTCATTTTTTCTCGGCCGAGAAAAAGCAACAAAAATAAACTCCTTGCAAAGGGGGTCTCTATACACTGGAGGAATCCCGGTGCCCATTCATTAGGGACTAAAAACAATCTAAAGAACCCACCCCTGTCATGGAACCGCTGAAAAACAATTAAAAAGGAACTGCCGCAAAAAGGAACGCACAATAAGGAACATCATCAAAAAGAAGACACGTCCAAACTCCGCTTTGATCGCACTCCGCGGTCAGCTTGCTCCGGTCAGCTCGCCGTGCCAATCGCCAGGGAGCGATCCTTGTTGGCCTTGGCGCTCTATCGAAGTGCCGAGGCCTCTCAGGCGAGGCGTCGTTTGGGAGAAGGACTTGAGCATGCAGAGTTCTTGCCCAGACACGACCTGGCTGGGACTGCCACATATTTGCATTATTTGCCGATGTTCGTTGGGGTGATGGAAAAAGGGGCCAATGCTGGCTATATATGTTATATAGTTATATGCCATGCATGGAGTGTTTGGGGTATAGCTGGGCATCCGCATATGATGCATTCACTAAGCTTAGGTGATGTGACCATGTAGTCGCCCAAAAAAGACTTGTTCTCGGCTTGGAAGACACGATGTGGTTCTTGAGGGGATAACCCAGTCCTTGGGGGTGGTTGGGAGAGACTGGAGAGTGCCATGACTGATTGAGGACGTCGCAGCGAAGAACTGTGAGCCTCAAGCATGGAACTAATTGTGCCAATATGTTTTTTTTTCCCAAGTCTCGTCAGGGAGAATTCATTGTCAAACAAAACGTATACCTTCAAAGGGTCATGGAGTTTGCCGTTCGCACTTGAAACTGCAATCAAGAATAGCTATACTTACTGATTGGCTGATTAGCTGGCTGACTGACTGGCTTGCTTACTTCCTTACTTCCTTGCTTACTTACTCACTTACTACACTTTCACTACCCCAAAACTTCAGTGACTTCTCTTTTTGTTGAGCACCAGCTCCCTCCCTTCCCACCAGTGACCTCCCCACCAGCTCCCTCCGGAAAACGGTGTCCAGTCCGCCCACACGGGCGACTTCCTGGACCAAGCGACGCCCACGCACGACTTCGCCGCTTCGGAGCGAGCGGGACCGTGCCGGTGCCGTTCGGAGGGGTGAGGCAACTCCACTGGTTTGAAGTGGTTTGATCAAACTCCATTGGTGTGACGAGTCTCAGGAATGAGAGAATTTCATCCAAAAGGATGTAGTAGGGCCCTTTTCCCTCCCAAGCCCGGCCTGTGGGCTTTTGTAGCGCAAATCTGAGTATAGACTCAGAGCTGGGGCTCAACCAGGAAGACCAGGAAGAGGAAGGGGACACCACCTCGCTGCCTTTTATTCATACTTTCACTTTTGGGCTGAACATGGTCAAACATCATTCCTGTGGTTGAACGGTTGATCCATGTGAATCCCTTTCTTTGGATCCCATGCCGATGGTTTTGAAGCGTCTCCGGCCTCAAGGGCATCACAGGTGAGACTAGACCTGACCTGGTTGACGAGTAAGTCGCCAAGACTGCTGATATGTACGTTGCTATCGGGCCGAGATCTGGGTGATTGTTGAACTGCTGGTGGCCCTTTTGGCCAATTTATCGCAACATCGGTATGAGGATGTACGAGGCTTTGGCCACATCTATTATGCCCTCAGAATCAAGAACCCTGAGAGCCTCAAAGGTGAAGGGTTTGAGGGTCCAAACTCCAAACCCCTGCTATCCAGGGTCACAAGCCTCGATAGCAGGGTCCAATGATGCTTTTCGCCCTGCTCTCACAAGGTCTACACCTGTCCACCAGGCTCTAAAACCTTGCTGTTGGGCTCCCAAGGTGCTCTGAGAACTGGGCGGTTGCAACCAATCAATCCGTATAAACTGACTAGTGCTTTGTTTGGAAGAAGGGAACAGATGTTGAGGAAGCTCTATGGGGGGGGGGTCATTCCAATTTGTTCTTGAGCCGACCCATTCAGTTACTGTAATGCTGCTGTCCTTTCTGGTTGTAGAATCCTCATGTAGATGGATCGCATGTTATTTCTTTGAAAGCGCCAGATTCAGCCACACCCATTGGGCTGTAGAGAGTTTCTCAGGAATAGATCCTATAGACTGGGCGGCCGGGACAAAAGCTGGGCGGGCCAAAAACCCTCATTCGCTCGGCCTTGATACCCTTGTGTCTCGGGTTAGTCTCCGATGGATTCTTTGAGGTCTCCCCTGAGGGTAATTGGTCTTCTCCATGGTCTTTCAATGCATTGACTCCATTGGTAGTATGTTTTGAGGTTCTGTTGGCGTTTTGTGAGGATATATGTCAGAATTGCCACCCACATGCATTTTCACACATGCAGCCCGCAGTTCATGGTGGAATGCATCCAAACATAGTAACGAACATGTAAAATCCTTTTGCGCCTGACCATTCCATGCACCTCACCACCACCTCACTCCGCTCCCTCCGCGCACCCCATCTCCTCCCTCCGCGTGCGCCGCGCTCTTAGCGCCACGTGGAACTGACCGAGGGTGAAGAGCGACCGGGTCATTGTCTCGGCCACGGCGACCGAGAATTCCAAACCCACGGACGTGGGGCGCGGGCCGCCCAGCGCGGCCGCGGCCGCAGGGTCAGTGCGGACGCGGAGTGCATCGTCTTCGCCCCAGTGGTTTGCACGGCTCGAGTGACCATATCGATTTCCAGCCCCTCTGGGTAGCCCAAGTTTTCCGTGAGGCTTTCCTGCCTCACCCTGGTTCAATGGGTCATGTTGACATGCTCATTCCCGCTAGTTCTTTGCGGGCCGCTGGCTTACTTGGTTCACTTGGTCGAATTCTACTCAATGCTTCTCCAGGGTTGGGTGTTTCATAGTGTTTTCAGTTCCCAGAATTCGTGTGTTGTTCCATTACTGAAAGCTTTGGTCGGACGAGCACGGCAGCACGTCCACCGACTGAAGACTGAACTTCACCGGCTTAGGACCACCGGCATGAAGCAGAGGATGAAAAAGGCAACGGCGAATCGCAGAGCGACAGGGACAGGGCTGGGACATAGATGGCCTTTTGCTATATGGTTAATTAATAGAGGGGATACACCCGGTCATGAACAGCCAATAGGTGTGTGATACCCGGCATTGACATCTACGTAATATTCCCAAGGGCTGGCATCATTGGATATTGGTATTGGTGGAAACTGCTGTTGCCACCCATTCTGAGCCTTTGTTCTTTCTTCGTTTTTGAGGTCCTGGGACATACTTAATTGAAGGGAAAATCACAATCCACATTGCAGAAGAATCAAAGCGCAAGAGAACTCACTGGTGTACTGTTTCTTGAACTCAGTCAGTGAACAACTGCTAGCTGCGCCATACATCACAGACATGTGGAGAGACTCTCCGGGTTTGACGTCTGACAAACTTCATGTAGATATCAGGTACATTGGATGCCAGTTTAGACAAGCTGGGTTAAGGCATGTTAAGGCACTTTGTTTGAGTCATCCAACTTCTTGAGACAACCAGACAGTTGACTTCGTGCGTTCGAGTTGGGGAGTCATGCTTGACATAGCCAGCCCTGATACTAGTAGAATACATCAGTCAGGTGAACCCCGCTTCGCAAGATCCAATTCTTACCTATATCATGTTCAAACATGTTCAAACTGGTCTTGTTTGATCGTTCTAGTCTAGGATTTTCTCACATCCAGATCCACTGTGGTTCACAACGTTCTGGTTTCTGTTCGTCACGGTCCCGACGAGGAAGCACGAAACCGTCGGTACTGTGGTGACGCGAGGCCATTGAGAACATCTATGGGCGGAGCGACCCTGCAGCTCGGAAACAACAAAAACTCAAGCTCCAAAGGGCCCCCAAACACTGCATGGGACTTCTACTGTAAAAACATATGTAGACATAGTTTAATAATGTTTAATATAATATATAAGTTAATAATGATACGACATGTACACACATATTGTTGTAACACTGCAACAAAATATGTTTAATGAATTGTTGGAATACATTGGCGGGTGCCAGATCAATAGATGCAGTGTTATAGCCGGTGTTTGAACCATTGTTGCGCAGACAGCATTTGCAAAAGAACCCGAAGTAGCCAAGTAGTTGAATTCATCGCTCGGCTGGGATCGGCGCAGTGCCAATGATACTAGCACAGGCAGAAGGATCTCTGGGAGGCTACCAGAGAGCTCTGTGCCAGTTAAATGAAGAATTTCCTCAAGAGAGCGTAGTAGTTAAGATTGCCTGGTGGTGGGGCGCGAAATGTGTTTGCTATTTGACAGTTGCTGTTGTTTGTTGCCTGGTTCTCATGTGAGCATCAATGTGAAGCCTCAAACACATGCAACAAAGTCAGCATCCTTTGCTTACACCTCGACTGTTTCTGTCTCAAAACATATGTTTTTTGCGGGCGAGCATATTAATATATAGTTACTTAAAACATATACATAGCATAATGGTAACCTCTTTAAGGGGTGTCCATTAACCAGCCCAGCCGGGGGCGACTCCAGAGGCTCCGTTTTCGATCTCGCAAAACGGTAGCCGGTGTGGCCATCCCTTTTGAAGCGGCATGGGTGGCATCTTCAGTGGCCCATAAGTTTGGACAGTGTTTGTTTCAACACCTCCAGTTTGAGAGAACATCCGGTGTCAACACCAACCCTTCCACTGAACTTTTGGGTTTCAGCAACTTGCATATGCCACCCAAGGACCTGCGACGTTCTGAGCATGCCTGCTCCACCAAGACCACAAGATGTATAGCCCTACACCTCCAGTCGTACCTCCGAAACGAAGGTATGACCGACCCTCCAAACTCCACCCCAACCTTCTCGGAAGGTACGACTGGAGGCCTAGGGTAGTTATATGATGTTATATTGATTGATTTCGTTGCGGAATGTAGACTTGCTTTCCTCCCAGACCCCCCGGAACGGTGACCCCCGCGCAAACCAGCGTAGGTTTTGAATACTGTTTCCTCTGGCACAAAGATCGTGTTTGCTACATGCTGTGATATGCTGTGTGTTTTCCTGGTTTACCTTAAGAAACCGTCAGAGGAAATATTGGCCGTTCTACACTGCTGCGCAGCGCGTTAGGGCGTTCTCGGGCGAGGCTGCCATGTAGCTCGTGGATCTGGTGCATCGTTCAAGCACGCCAGCGATACAAGGACAGTGTTTTTTCAATCGTGGCAAATGAGGTGGTTTAAGTGTTTTGCACAAGTCGCGAATCAGATGTTTGGACTCTCCTCAAGAGGAAAACTCTGGAACGACTTGGTCTCACTGCTGAATTGGAACTGTGGTTTACCGGATTTTACATCCGGGATTCCAGAACCCAGATACCGCACTGGTTCGATAGTCTCATGGAAGCTGGTTTGTAATCAGGTTTGGGGACAAGCGCACAGGCAGTATGTCATACAAATGTGTTTGTGGGTTTCATCATGTATAGGTGTCATCAAAGCAAGCCAAGCAGAGTGGTTTTGAGGGTTGGCAAAGACTCACATGAACCATCATAAACCCCTAGATTTGACAGGGTTCGATGATGTCCAGACAACCATAGCTGGAGGGACGAGTGGTTGTTTGCAGGGAACCACCTGCTCCGGGGAAATCAATTCTTAAACTGTCCCAAAACCATTGAACCTCAACCCCCAACCCACAAACTGTTGATTCAATCATTAAAGCTCCAAGACTGCTGCAAGTGTATAGCCTCGTAACCTCCATCTATTGAACTGTCAAACACTGTTGAGCCAGCCGGACTGCTTTTTCTTCACTGCAGACCCTGTTGCAAGGACCAGCGAATTCCGACCGACAAGCTGAGTGGATTGCGCCTGGCAGAGCCGTTGGGATTCGTGATGACCAAAACTATTGAGGTTTCAGGTTTGATTTGGATTGTAGCCTGGTAGCCTGAGGCCCGCAGTTTGAAGTTTGGGCAACTCAGTCTAAGCACACACATCCAGGCCTCTTTTTTTATCCTATAAGGCCCTCACTACTGGGCGCCCAAGAGCGGTAGCAACTCACCAAAGAGCCGTTTGTCCTCCCAGGAAAGAACAAATGCGTCGGTACGAAGTGCCTCACCTACCACTCACTTCGTAGGGCCGCCTCTATGGCACTCCCTCCAAATGGAACTCTTGGTCTAATCCAAAACCCCTGATCTCCTTGCGAGAAACAACAAGCTATTAGTAACAAGTGCCACGCTAGTAGTAACAGGTGCCTTACTAGTAGTAACAAGAAGCTATTAGAAACAAGAAGCTACTAGTAACAGGTGCCGAGTGAGCAAGGCTTTCCTCACCACCTACTTGCACCCGGGTGGGCGCGATTTGTCTCGGACGCGACCCAACGACAGAATCTGACGGGGTGGGTGGTAGATGAGGCATGACCAGAGATTCGTTGGATGGAGACACCCAACCAACAGGTCTAGTCTATGTTCCCTTCTTCCAGGGGGTCTTTGGCAAGTCTCCCTATTTTAGGATGTTTTTATTTTAATGAACTAATTACAGTAGGCAGTGGATTGTATTTGTCATGGTGGACCATTGGTCAAGAATTCCAGGGCCCGAACTCTTGTTTCACCGACAGTCCATTGCAAAGCAAAGGACGGCCAACAAAAAGCATGTTAGGTGCAGATCTCCCAGCAACTCCTTGGGGATGATACAAGGCATAACAGAAAAGCACACAACAGGCCACAGTTCAAACATTTGAGCTATGTTGAGCGAGCTTGACAGGACATACAAGTGACTTTAAGATGTCATGAGTCATAGCAGTCAATCTGATCCCAAGGCATGCAGTCCAACACCCTGTTGAGCACCAAAAGGTAACTGCAGGTGTTGGAGGATGAGCGTGCAAAGCTTGGCCAGAGTAGCCGATCCATTGGATTTTCAAGAACCACATGAACAAGTTTGATGTCTCAGGTCAAGTGTTTGTTTAATCTTGGAGATATGAGGCTTTTTAACACTCCAAAGTCGGTTCCGGGAGATTTCAGAGTGGTGTTCTGGAGAGGCATCTGTCAGTGAAAACACTCCTTTCGCCCGTTCCATCCAGTTCCTATTAATCAAAAGGTAACTGACTCCACTTGCGGATGAACTCAACTTGGCCACAAGATAACCTGCAGCTGATACATTCTATATGCCTCATACATCATGAACATGGCACCGTCCACCCCATGCTTTACGGAAACATGCAAGCGATGTCAAAGACGGAACCTCCATGAGCCCGAGCCGAACCAGGCTCTCCTTGCTTGTAAGGCCAATGATTAACACGCTACAGCAGATAGTTGCACGTGATTAGGTGAAACGTCATATGTCCTTACATCCCAGCTCCCATTCTGCAAGCACCCAGCTTGTTTCAATACAACAAACAATCAAAGTCAGACGATGCCTTGAAGCATTTCCCAGTTCCTGTGGGCACCATGAGACGGCGATGCCATGGCCTTCGATTCCATAGAGGAGATCCCATCCTATGACTTGTTGGAGGCGCGATGGCGTTGGCGTGATGGTTGGTACGGCTGTTTTTGAGGACTCAGGGTGTGAAGGGAAGGGGTCTTGGAATGGTGCGCTTGAAATGACGGTTTTTGTGGTTGTTTTCTTTTAAGGCCTTGGGCTGGGTGGGTTTTGGGTGATTTTTGGCGAAGTGGTTTGGAAGAAGGATTCATGTGACCTGAAGCCGAGATTGGACTGGTCAGATTGTCAGGTGATGTAAATCACAAGGAAAGAAACTACTACTCAGTGAATCTCAGTATAGGAGAATAGTGTTGGCAGAAAATATACTATATTGTGTTACACTTATATTATAGTAATTACTATATATTCCAAAGACTACCAGTTTTGCTGAAATTTATCCGTGGATCAGTCAGACCTCCCGCGTTTGGCCTGGCTAGGATGCAGATGCCTTGGATTGGCTTCCTGGTGGAGAATGGGGATCTGGCTTAGGATCGTACCCGATACCAGGTACTTGGGGACATAGTTTAGAATGGATTGTTTATACATATTTATAGTACTATAGGGTAGGTAGGAATCCTCGCTTTTCAGTTCAGTTCAACTAGTCCCTCTCCACTTCCAGTCCCTCTCCACTTCCCTCCATTTCAACACACTTCAACAGTTTGACTCCCAGTAGCTTTGATTGCTATTCACCTTTGCTTCAGGTCATGTTGAGGGTTTACTGCGCGTTCGCTTGATTTCGTTTGTGGCCGAGGGGGGTTGCGCTGCTGATCAAAAGAAACGAACGTGAGAGATGGCGTGGAACTTTTATGCAAGAAAGAACCTTTCAAACTAATTGGGAGATGCACAGATGATTTTTGTGCAACACCCCAGCATCGACTGGGCACTACCCTCCCTCCAACGATACTCTCCTTGGCACCATCACTTGCTTCCACCAAGGCTTCGCTGCGTTTCTTCATCAGCTCGTTTGACCCAGTCGCGTGTCGCCACAGAGGTGCCCATTCCGCGCGTGGCGCTGGCCGAGGCTTTGGCTTCACTCCAAGCCCTGGAAGATCTTCAGTTTTTCGCCCGTCCAGGCCGAACGCCCGGACACCCGGATCGGCGAGACGGTGCAGGGCTGTTTTTTGAGCCTTTTTGGAGAGTGGCGGATGGGCCCTGGAAGGAAGATGCCATGTGGAGTGGTATATGAATATAGATTATTATATAGTAACATAGTAGGTTCTTATAATAGATTTAATGGATATTCAATCATGTAATTAAAAGAAGTGGTTGTTCCTGTTATCCTTCCTTTGCGAACTGGACGGTTTTTGGTATCTTTGTTTGCCCCTTGTGCCTCCACTGTTTGGCTTGTGTCTACCCGTAGTGTTTTAGGATCCGCTTTGTCATGTTACTGTAGCCTTTGCGGGTGCGAAAGGCTTGTGCACGCAGCGATTCTTCAATCATGAGCAGTCTCACCCATTTGCACCGTAGAGTCAATATGTACACATGGAAACAGATCCCTTAGTTCCTGGCTTTTAGGGTGCTTTTCTTTAGCACACAGCAAACACCGGTCTTTCTTTGGCTTGGACATGCCTGGGGTCTTCCAACGCCTTCGTTGGGGGAAGACACCCCATCTCTCGATTAGACGACCATCGGCCGCTTTCTGCGTGCGAGGACGACACAGTTTCTCCGTCTTCGAGGCCGGCGAGGTGTTACTAGTCTCCGCTGTAGTCGATATGACGTGTTTCTTTGTTGTTTTTTGATTGGAATGTATTGGAAGTCTTAGTGTTTTGCTCTTGTGTTTTGGAGGTGAGCCAGGTGTGTTTTTTTGTGCTCAGAATCGATAGTCTCTGTGTGGTACCACAATCCTTGCACGAGGATTGTAACCCTAGGCCTCCAAGTACCTTCTGAGAAGGTGTTTGGGGTGGGTTTGGACGGTCCAAAATACCTTCTGAGGAGGTACTTGGAGGTGTAGGGTAATAGTTTGTTTCTCTTTTTTCACTAAGTCACTAAGGCTATCAAGGCTTTGTGAGAGATCATTTAGGATTGCTCAGGGATGCTTCAAGTGTCCCAATGGGACCCCCATTTCGATCAACAAATCTCCTCTTTGGATTCTCTTTAGAATAAACAGGATCAGTCAGGATCATGTGATACCATGTGACCATGCCTTCACGGGACGGATCCGATCGCAGAACCTGGCAGCCAAGAGGGAGTGCCATGAAGCTCTCTTCGGCCTCTTGGTTCAATTCTTCAAAGGAAGATGGTTTTGTAGCTACCCTCCAAAAGGAGTCAGCATAGTGACTGACCAGCACAAGATTTTGTTGAACCAAAGAAGTAGTTCGAATGACCATTGACCGTTCCACAACTAAGCGCTCATCAACCACATGTCAGCAACAAGGCGTTTCAGCAAGCTAGATCCAAGCATTCGCCGTTTCAGCAAACAAGCAATCCTTGTAGTAGCTTCCAGCAGCTGCTTCTTCAGGATGTACATCAAGTTCATGGTTTGTTCACCAAGCATTGCCCCAAACTGCGGTGCGGAGCTGGCCATGCTGGCGTCACACCCCACCCAAAACCCACACCACCCGCCCGAATGGTGCGGCTACCCATGCTGCCACACCACACCACCCGACGCAACAAGGTCAAGGACGCTTGTTGCTTTTGGATGGCAAGTCGGAGGTGCGGGTCGCAGGGGTCACTGCCGAGTCGCCCCGGCTGGAGGACGATTTTGGGGAGCCCAAGGGAGCCCGGGAGACGACAGAGTTTGGATCCCGGGTTGGGGATCTAGACGGATCAACATGACGAACCAACCAACCAACCAACCAACCAACCAACCAACCAACCAACCAACCAACCATATTTTCTCCTCAACTCATGGCTGGTGGGCAAAATCCTGCCCTGCCTCCAATTCATGACCATCACTGTGATGTTCCACAGCAGTTCCAGTTTCTCCAACACACACACACATACACACACTTGCTGTGTTTCCCCTTCCCCACAGCAAGTACGACGCGGGGTGGGAGGGTAACTCACGAGCTGCTCTTCCGACGCGGAAAAAGCACCGCAGGAGGCCTTGGCCTTGTTGGAAGAGGCCAACAAAAGTTCTTGCGACGCGGGGTACTTGAGTTGGTTCGCCTGGGCTGCTCGGAAAAACCGGATATGCTCGGAGAAAGGGCTTTTTCCAAGGTGTGAAAAGGGTGCGAAACAACAGGGTCATCGATATGTTTTTTGGGGCAGTTTGGCACGAAGTTTGGGGGGAGAAGTTTGGGGAGAGAAGGGTATAGATTGTTTATAATTGTTTGGCAGCTTTCAGTGGAAGGTGGGAGTTGGACTGATTTCGCTGCTGTGACTTCGTAGATCATCATATATCATCATACACCAGAAGCCATTGGACTATAGGTGTACCTATAACTTGGGGTTTGTTCTTCTGCTCATGTTCGTTGGATTGGAGGTGTGTACTATAGCGTTACTAGTGCTTGAACATGAACATGACCGACCCAGGGACCCAGGGACCATCACTGACTAGGGCAAGCCGAGCTAAGCCGAGCGCCATCAAAGACTGATATTTTTTGGTTGCCTATACAGCCAGATAATAGCCACATATTGATATTTCAATAGGGAGACTTCCCCAAACCAATGGGTTGCCTGGGAGGTCTCCCTATTTTTATAGACGTCGTATGCCAGCGTATGCCATCAAACAATTCCGGTCAGATGTCTCCAAGGCCTTGTTGTTGGTCTCGAAGGATCAGAGCTTCTACCGGCGCTTCTCAACACAGCAGCGATCCAACAGCTGCTGCAAGGAGCGATCCTGACGAAGAGCCCCGGTGTGCTTTGTTTTTCTTCCCCATCCTTGGCTGGTGGTGCTGCAGTGCTACGGGCAGTGATAGCCAGTTTTTGGTCCTTTTTTTGTCAGTAAACTACATGTATTAATATATGTATGAATATACGTGATGATGTAGCTTCTTATTTTTGTGAAGAAGCTCCTGACTTTGTATGTACCCCCTAACCCTTTCACCACACTGCCTGAGCCTGGACCCTGGACCTGGCGCCTGGTGTGAGTGAGTGACCTTGGAGGACGCACTGGTTCTACATCCCGGCTTCTCCTTGGCTCTACGCTGCCTGGCACACCTGGAACCCGAAAGCATCCCCAACTCGGTGGGTTTGGATCCTGTGGCGCACTTGGTGGCCTGTGGCAGGCGGGGACACGAAACATGGGATACATACACATGGATACACAGACGGGTGACCGTCCCACAGGTAAACACGTCGAAACAACTCGACACAGAAACAACCCAGTGGAATTCCGACATGTTTTAAGCAAGTCCGCTCAATCAAAACATGTCAGACACCCAGGTTGTGAGACCAATGGCGTTGAGCCGAGAGGTCTATTTGTTTCCAAAGAAGGGACGCCCCACCAAGCTGCCGAGACGCTTCCGCAGCCGCCCCAGGCAGGCGCTGGACGCCTCCACGGCGCAGCAGCGGCGTCAAGGCGCCAGCGCGCTGCGGAGCTTCCTCGCCGAGGCGGCCCCGAGCGCGGTCGCCGCGTCGGTGTCGTTTGGTGCGTCAGGTCCATCTCAAGCTGCCATGGAGAGTAAATGAAGAATAATTCGACCTTGCATGACCTTGCAAACTTGGCAAAAGGGTGCAGTGATATGAGAGTGTAATAGAAAGTACAGTAATATATCAGGAATGATCGTCTCCATGACCTGGGTGAATGCCGTGAAAAAAAGAATGCTGAGTTATTGAAGGTTGGCTGAAGTAAGTCTTGTCAGCCTCAGTTGATGGTGCACGCACCAAACACTTAGAAATGATGACAGAAACCGTTTGATGCGCTGCTGCGTTGTTTTTGCCCTCGAGCCATGACTCCGCCAGAAGGTGATGATTGTTATAATACATTTGGGGAAGGTTCTTCACACTCATCGGAGTCCTTCAGCATTTGGTACTAAACCTATAGTTGAGAGATGCCGCAGACTTGTGGAGCAAAAAACAATGAACAACATCATAGTCACCCGGGGTGACCTTGGAGACACTACTCCTACCCTTTCGGGTCCAAGTGAGTGTTTTTTTTTCTTTTTTAGTATGTTATTTTATGTTATTTTTCAGACGAGTTTGAAGACGTTTGCAGGTTCGTTGAACTTTGTTCAAGACGTGATGCAAGACGACCTTGGAGCTTAATTACTGTTAACTGCCATCCCATGAGTTGATGAATTGGACAATGACAAATGTTCATAAGTCTTAGTCTTTTGGCTAGATTGTTTGAACACTCCTGGTCCAACAAGTCAAGTGTTCAACCCATCGCGAGGTGCAAGTTTTGATGAACAGATGACAACAATTCGAGGTCCGCAAGCAAGACAACAGCTCTTCCAGTGGCACAGACTGGTTGGCGCTAGCTTGTTTATTTTCTTTGAGCGGCCCTTCCCAGGTCCAGAGCCCTGAAGACCTTCCCAACGTTTGTCTCTTGCTGGGCACCTTGGGCGCGACTGCCAGCAGCTCTGGATGTCCAGCGGCGACATCCAGTGGCTGGGTCTCGGCCAAGCTGATGGCCTTGGATTCTCTTTGGCGACTTGGAGAGCATTTCCGTCATTTCGGATGGTTCAGGGATCGTGGCGAAGGTTTTTTGGGACTTGAGAAGAATGGGGAGGAAGCGAAAGGTGTGTTGTTTTTTTCCCGGAAAGGATGGATGTTGCGGGTAGACCTAGATTGCATGGGGAGATGACAAGGGGAACATGGCTGCAACGGGAAAAACATCTAAAGACTGGCTCACATGAAGCAAAAAGAGGAAAACACACACATATTATCTTGAACATGACATGACATGGGCTCTGGCGAGAAGTGGGCTGGAGTCTTTCCAATGAATCCAGATTGGTTGGCCTCAAAATTGTACAGGAACTCTCGCCCTTGGCCCGATGAAAACCCAGTGAAACCCATGTAGCAAACATTGATTGAAGGAACCCAGTCCTTTGGGGTGACTAACATGTGTTGCATGAATACAGACTTGCTTCATTGCCCATCCAAGTGACGTTACCCATCCTCCCCCATTCCTCCCCCATGGGGATTCCGTGTAAACCGCATGCCCACGTGAGCAGCACCAGCATCCGATCATAGCGCTTCAGGCGCTATTGGACCAAGAGCAAGCGGCCCAACCGCGCAGCGGAGGCCTTTTCCGCGACGCGCTTCGCCCAGGATTCGGAGCGGCCCGTAGCGGAAGACCAACTGAAGGGGCACCGGGTTGCAACTGCGATTGAACCCAAAGCAGGCTCATGCAGCTGCTGCATGGCCACGATTAGTCATGAGGGTCGGAGATGGTCAGGACGTGACATAGTGGTGCAGGATGTGACAAGCGGGAGTGGAGCTCGCCCAGTTTAAGAGAAGAACAGATGCGTCTAAATATTTAGTCTTCCACGGAGCTAGAATCTGCCAGAATGTTCCACCAAACCACGATTGCTTGAACCTACAGGGAAGCAGCCCTTTTGGTGTCCCAAACGATGCACCACACGGCACCACATAAGATTGCAAGCAACTTTGTGCATGGGTTCAGTTTTGTCAGAATGTCTCCTGTCCACAAACTACTAAGTATGTGCCCATGTTTGGACGTTGGGGCAGGTGAATAGCTTTCTTGGGTTATCATTTCCGTTTGGTAGCAAAGGTCCCTTCCAACGAATGGTTCGATTCAAAATTTGATCAACAAAGTTTGGTTATTTGGCCCCAAATGCAACCAATGACAAGCAAAATGCAACCAATGACAACCAAAACTGCAACCAAAAAACGACTTAACAACCATAAGCATATTGAAACACCGCTGTCCTGGCCTGTCCTGCCTTTGTTGACGTCAGGCAGCCTTGGTGGCCGTAGGCGCTTTGCGCTCAGAACGTCAGGCTTGGCAGCGGGCAGTGGTCTTGGCATTGAAGGCGCGCGGAAGGGGACAGGCGACCGGGAAGACTGGCGACCGGGAAGACATGCCATTTTTGCCTTTTTTCCAGACTCAGAAAGCAGAAACCGAAGAGAGATTTTGTTTGCATGGATACTTAGATACTACAGCTGCGAAAAGATGGGTGAAAAAAGCTTGTTAAGACAGTCGGAGCAAAGCAGGGTAGGCATGGGTGCGATCGCTGGGGTTACTGGTCCACAATATAAACTGATCGAAGGCGGACATTTCCTGCTATTTTTTTGATGCAATTTTGTCAGATGAGGTCAGAGAGGTGTCAAAAAAATGGAATTGGATAAGATCCGTTCATTCCAAGATCTAAGGAACCCACACCCTGAAAGTTCCAGTCTCGTCATCTTTAGAACCCGGCTGATCGTGCATAATTTTGGTCCAGCAAGCAAACTTTGGGTCGTCGAAACAGCACATCCTCGTGCTCAGCTTTCTGACAGAGGTGTTGACGATTTTGTGTGTGCATTTCCTGCCCGTTCTTTTTTTGCTGGCAAAAGTGATAACTTCATTGAATGGTACTCTAAGTAGATCTAAGTAGCGTAAGTAGGGTGTATCCCATTACCCGTGAAAGTCGCTACCAGATGATCACTATTTTTTGTGAGGAACTGCAACCTCATCATCATCCAGGGGGCGCTGGGAATCGGTCAACATACTCCAAATCTATATATACCAACCTTGGGGGGGTGTCACATGTTGTCACTCAAGAAGCCAACCAAGACCCCTTGGACCCTTTGAACTTCGAACCCATGATCCGTTGGCCTTCCATTCGACCCGTTCGAATGCTTGCTTGACCTGGTTTGGTGAAGAAAAGCATCCCCCAACTCTAAGCCCAAGAAATGGCCTCCCAAATCCCACCAAAAGGCCCAACAAACTCCGGTGTTTCGTGAGAAACCGTGTAAGGCCTTGGCCTTGGACGGCCAGTGGGACGAGTGTTGGCGACTGGCTTCTGCGCCCTGGCTTCGACGGTCAGGAAGGACCTGTGCACCGTGCACTGGACGTTCGGTTCGGTGGTTCTTGGGACTTCTGGATCCAGATGTTCTTGGGTTGGCACGTACTTGGGGTGGCTAACAAAAAATGTTGCCCAAGGAAGAATCAACTGTATGTGCTGCTCGGTTCAGTAAAACTGTAAAACATCAGAATTCCACAGATGTCCTGCACTGTCTCAGAGCCCTACACTCTGCAGTCCTGTCAAACAGCTCCAACTCAGTGGTGTGGCCGGGGTCATCACCCTCTTGGTCTTGGATCTTCTCAAGACACAAAAGCAATGGACTTGCAGGCCCCCATCTGAAGGTGCTGGTCCCGCAATTGGGGCTCAGTCGGCACCACAGCCGTCGATCCCCCTGTTGGACCAAACATTCAATTGGACCCCTTGGAAAGAGGTCAACCATGATAGTGACATGGGTATGGCTCACAAACTTGGTTTCACAAAATCCGGAGTTGTGTGATCAATAATTTTGTGTCCATGGTGTATCATCGTAAACAAAGAGGCGTGATGTTTCCATGTTTCTTCCCTTTTCCTTTGTAATCCCTTCGCTCAACACCGTCAAAAGACGGACGTCCAAAGACGGAACCCAGACATGCTAAGGCTGAGCTGTCGTTTCACACGTCACGAGAGGCGCGAGCAGACAGCCGTTGACCATGCAGTTTCGCTTCATGGGTGGGATGCTGGTTGGGTTGACAGGTTGATGAGGTTGGGTGGATTGGCTGGTTGATGTTGATTAATTAGGCGATTAGGGTTCATGTGTGGGAAGGTAGGTTGGTGTTTTATACTTGGATTCCAGTGAGGGGCCAAACATGGCCAAAGGTCAGACTGGAAGCGTCGTGTGTCAATGACGGGCTCCTGGATGCTGGATGTTATTTGTCATGTCTCATTCGCGAACAGACTGTTCAGTGCACCTGTTGAAAAGAACTAGCAACATATCCGTGTAGCATCGACCTGGAACATGCGGCACGTCCCAGACACGTACTCGTAGCACGTACCCGTGAGGGATCCCTTTTTTGATCTTTTTGTGAGATCTTGCTCAGCTCCGATCTCCAGGTTCTTTCTGGAAATTTGCTACTCCTCAGAAGTGATAAATGGGCCCATCCTGCCCCAAGGGACTTGCCTTGCAGACACCCACTCCAAAACAGCCCCCAAGCATCCTTACAGACTGCTGGACAAAAACACGATTTGGATGGTAAAGCCTCTTCAATTTGCTGGGGTTATGTCTATATGAAACATCCTCCAACATCCTCCAGCGTCAAACCTCTGAGTCATTCGGTCACAGATCTACTTACTATTGACCACCTGTCTTCTCTTCGCCCTCCCTGAAGTGCCCGGATGAAACCGCCAGATCCTCTACCAATGTGGACGACTGGCCCATTACGATGGACGCCAAGAGGTGGTGTTAGGGCGTGGAGATGTTGCTTTGTCCTGCCCGAGAGGGATATCCGACACCTTCCGACTGGACTCTCCAAGATACTGTATCCAAGTGGGACCCACACATCACCGAAGAGGGTTGTGAGTCTCTGTGAGTTGATTCGTCGCAGCGCCATGTTGAGAGATGTTGAGAGGCCCACAAAATAGGGGGACCATCGGGGACCCGCCAAGTGGACACCAGGGATAAGCTTTGAAACCGAAAGTCGCCCAGGAAGCGTAAATCCTTTTATTATCCGTTGTTAAACTCGTATCAAAAATTAACATATCCTCCAGATCGAAGGGTCTTCCTGTTCCTTTTAGACAAGCCTTGAACATTTAGTAATACATAGTGATTCTTCGATATTCATCGCTTGTGACATGTCCATCAGACTAACAGTGACTAACAACTAAAGATGTTGAAAGAACTATCACTGTGCCATGCGGTTTGCGAGGCCTCAACGGAACTCGCGTGCCATTGGGGTTCCGGGTGCAGAGGGCGTGTGTTTCCATGCGGCGTGTCACGATCGTTTTTGGGCACGATTGGTGGTGGTTCGAGTGGGTGGGTACCAATAAGAAGGCGGTGATGATCGGTGACTTAAACACACGTGCAAGCTATATTTTTGGGGGCTTGGACATGAGTCTATTTTTGTCATTGATGTTTTTAAATAGGTGCTCGGGATATCTCGGGATCATATTGGTACTTGTTTGTGACTGCTGCGAGAGATTAGCAGCTCGCTTCGGGCTGGTTTGGGTGTGACAACCACTCGAGGCTATGAGTTCTGCCATTTTGACTGGTTTTTCACGGGAACATCCTCTCCGCAGCGGCCACAGGCTCTTCGTGTGGGTTCATGGAAAGGAGCTGCCGTAGTGCAGGGGTCACAATCTCACAAAATGTGGACGAGGCTATGGGTATATAGATGCATCCCATGAGTGGTCCCAGCCTGTGTCCGGCTCGCTTTCAAAAACTATCAGCAAGCTGGAAGCAAGCTCTTCTGTTTAACAGGTTCTAGTGGAAGGGTCCCTTCAAAACGCTTTCACATTGTTGGTACATGGATGACAAAAATTCGGAGGCTGAGGTACTGTTGTAGGATTTGCCAGTCTCCCACCCCAAAATCCTGCAGGGTAAAATCGTTTGTCAGCTGCGTTGCCAGGCTCGACAGGCCTACCTCCCACACCTGCGAGGGATGTGGCCTTTGGTGCCTCATCAGGTCCAGCCATATGTTGGCTTCTGGGTGCGGAACCTCAGCGGAGAAGGATTGGTCCACAAACAGCAAGTCTATATTATTATATTATGCACATGATTCATATTAGCAATTAATCTAAATTAGATGCAATTATCCATATTATACACAAAAATACATACACCCCCCCATGATATCTCTGTTTTTGCAAGCTGCGTGGCAAAGACAACTGGTTGCCACAGACGGAAAGTACTAAGAGCATATTATATTTAGTTAAATGGGTGTCCAATCAAAATCGCGGGCCTTTTAGGAGTGTTCAAGAAATAGGGTAATTGTCAATGTTCAATTTGTTAGCAAGTGTTCAAGATGTTCAAGAACATGAAGGTGTATCTTAAGGCAAGAAGGAATATTAATCATTCAAAAGATGAGTACCTAATCAAACACAGGCAGGATCTACCAGGAGTGCAAAGTAAGAGTAGAAACGACCTCTCCTCTTCCCTCCATGTGACCTCTCTGACCTATCTGACCTTTGAGTTTTGGTTGATGCATTTGTTTGTGGGTGACAAACCATCTGCAGACTGAAAAGAAAGCGTTTCACGCCTGGCCTGGCACTCCAGAGACAAGAGACCTTCATCCATCCTGCACCGACCTTTTTCGTCAGCTCACGACCTTTTTTCGTGATAGGACGGGTGTTCTGTATTTGGATCTGAGTGTTTTTTTTTTTTTTAAATTATGTTTTTTTTTTTTTTTTAAAGAAGACAAGTGTTCACAATAGAAGGTGATCAACAAAACAAAACAACTGGACCCAGCAAGACCTTACGAAGATTGAAACAGCTTCCTTTTTTAGGTGCTCAATGCTATAAGAATACATTTGAGAGAAGAGACACAACTAGGCAAGAAATATAACACTATTTTGCTAGAGAGTAGAGTAGAAAAGCCTAATAGAACTGGGAAGAGGTTGTAGGGAAGAGTATTTTGGGGAGAGGATTAAATAAGTGAACATATGGTATTGATTGATATTGTATATCATGTGTATCCGCAGCGTGCAACCAAAATAAGCATCAGTACCAAGACAATCTTGCCCAACAGTTCAAGCTAGTTTCAATCACATAGGTTTGTTATATTTTGTTGGTTTAGTTGGGCTGTCACATAGCTGGAACTGAAGCTCAGCCCTTTGTTTGCAGGCAATTGGCAAAACCATTAAAAAAAGACAAACACAAAACGCAACAACGGACACTTGTGGAACATATGCTACTGGGTACTGTTTAAAAGCTGGGTGCAGTGCCTCAGGCAGTGGTACAGCCCCCTGTTTGTTTTGTTGGGATCTGTTGTTTTGTTGGCCAGCCAACATTGGATCATAGCTTTTGGTTTTGGGGAAGTCTAACCTCTTTGTTGTTGGTTCTATATCCAGGTATTGCAGATGCTTATATTAAAGGCCACATGTATATAAGTCTTCTGCAGCATGTGCAAACAACAAGCATATATTGTACAATGGTACCCCTTTTATGATATCCATGAAGGGTCATTGCAAAGCTCATGAAACATGAAAGATTACTATAACATAGTTACCATGGAGTACCATATGTATATACATGCATGATATATGTAGAATATGTAGGTAGGTGTTTATTGACTTGTAGATGGCGCAGTCCACTTCCCAAATATGTTTGGAAGGTTTGTTTGAATCCGCAGAACATGACTCAACACATCTGAAAATAAAGAAATCCTCTTCTCACTCACATGACCTTTTCTCGATATGGCTACGAAAGCACATGCTGAGTTGGCCTTGCTGGAATTCAAGGAGGGCATTCCCTTGGTGGCTGCACGCAAGCTGCAGGAGCCCCCGGCGGAGCGACCACGGAGCGGTGGAGCGTCATGGATTGATCGTGATTGATGTCGGTCGTCGGTTCGATGAAGTTCGTAAAGTCTCTCAAATTATATGGTTTTGACGGTCTACAATCTTTGGGTATAGAGGTTGTTCCTACAGTCATCTACAGTCTTAGGTAGAGCAGGTGCTTTTGATTTAACACGTGTTTGATTTCTTTACACATGAACCAGTGATGATGTTTGACTTGCCAGAGCACGCTGTGGAAGTTGTAGTGCAACAAATTCGTGGCTTTGGTCATCTTTGATCGAATCTTGTGGATTGTAGGGTAGAGAACTTTATCTTTACCCCATTCAAACTAAGATCCCAACTTGGTGCTCTTGCTGCTGTGGGCAGAACATCCTCATGATTTCATCAAGGTTTGTCTCCAGAAGCCTCCAATCTTGCCCACCTCCATTCACTGACTAGAGAGATGTGAGGATTTATGGCCGCGGTTGCAAGAAGGGTCCTTTCAGAGCTTGCAGAAGCAGCCTGAACCTCAAGCTCTGCAGTGCCGGGGGGTTCCCTTTGAGGGCAGGGGCAGTGACCAACATGATAGATCATGATTCTTGGATACTGCATGCTACGAAAGGCCAGCAGTTCTGGAGCATTGGAAGCATTCCTGAAACCGAAAAGCTCAGATTGCTAGCTGCTAGCGAATGACGACCCCAGATTTCTTGCTGAGAAGTTAGCATCAAGGGCTCGAAAATCAGGGCATCGGCCATCGGTGCTTTACGAGCACCAACTACCTTAAGAGTGTGGGAGAGTCCACAGTCCGCACCACATGCAGAGCAACCGCACGAGCTGAGCCGCAAAGGATGATGAGAGTATTGATGGTTTTTTAATGTCTCAACATAGCCTCCTCTTTTGCGACACTCGCTCGGTTGTAAGAAAAGACAGCTATCACAGCTTGCCTGTGATGCAGTTTTGCTTTGGTTTTCCATGGCCAGATTCGGGGTTGGTGGAAGACTGTTGTTTAACTCCTTCTTGGTTGCTATAGGGATGAATTGGGACATTGTTGAACAAGACCACCAATTTGTCTAAAGTTTGGCAAACAATCACGAGGTTCCTAATTTTTTTCGTTGAGCACAACACTCGCTGTTTTGTGGACCGCCGTCAGGCAAAAATGCCGTTGGGGCCGGGGCATTTCCCCCACTTTTAAACCATCCTTTTTGGATGTGTCGTGAAATAGGTGCACTGAGCCAAAGATGTGAGTGTGTCTTTCCCAAATCCCAAGTCATGATTTTCCCGAGACATAACGCTCTAAGGCGCTTGGCCAAGGAGTCTTTAGACCTTGTTCGGAGACCCAGGAGCGCTACATGCCGTGGGTTTGTTGGTTTGTCACGTGTTGTTAGCATGGGTAACAAGGGAAACACCTTTCAAAATCGAGTTCCTGATGAAGCACAGTACCGGCACGTTCATGTAGTTTACTCAATTTATGTTTGTTTCAGGGCTATGTGCTTCTCCCAATTCTCTTTCAGATGGATCAACAGGGGATTACTGTAGATCCAGACAGCCTGGTACCGCCTTTGGCAACGCCAAGGCCGAGCAGCTCAAGGCAGATGTGGAGAGGAGAGATACAGCTCAGTAGTGCTGATCGCCGTGCTGACATGACGTGGATCCTATATATGATAGATAGATCCATATATGGATCCTATATATATATATATTTTTTTTATATGATACTATATGATCGAAGAATCCCATCTCACTTGGGAGTAGTATAAAACCATCTAAATCTTGAGATGGTGCTTGGCCGTGGGTGATGCTTGGCTGGGGTGGTGGGTGACACATTTGCAGGATCTACGAGCTCTCAAATGCCCTGTGGCTATCGGCCTCAGGGAAAGACGACCCAGCGACTGTGGCGAACGTGGGCGCGCAGGCACATTCTTGATGTTGTGCAGCTGGACACGTGATAGCATGAGATTAACAATAGTTTGTTTGTGTTTTATTGTATAATTGTATGATAGTAATAATATACCAGAGAGGTTTGGTGTTTTCATGTCTTTGTTCCAAGCTAGCGGGACCATTTGCAGAAAGATGATCTCCGCCCGAGAGAAGACGAGTGAAGATGGTGTCACGATGTTCGTCACTTTGTGCCACGAAGCTCCATATGCCTCAATGCCCTCGAAACGAGAGAGAGAGAGAGAGAGAGTGCTTGTCGTACTACGGGTGCCTGAAACATCAACTCAGCCGAGCTGGAGAAAGTAACGAGATGTAACAAGTATGGCCTATCTTGCATAAAAAATGGACGCTCCACGGCATTGAGTTGTACTGAAAGTGAATCACTCTCAGGGAATCGTTTGTGCCCTCAGAATCAAGGAGTGGATAGCAAGCCCTCTCTAAGGCCTTAGACTGTCTTGAGCACTTGACCTTACAGAGCTCCATTGGACAAAGCACCGTTGAGCGCTTCAAAAGATCTCAACATATTAACTTGTTTATTAAAAACAAGTATGGTTCTGCCTGCCTCCTGCATGCAAGCGGGATATCTGCGCAGCTCCATCAAGGATATTTTTTTTGTGTTGTTGAACGAAAAGACCCAGAGTCATGACCAAGAACTTGTTTTGATCAGCCCAATGGAGCTCAAACTGCAGAGACTTGACAAGCTAAGTTTGGCACTTGAAATGAGTCGCCAAGACCGAAAACTCTCCCCCTGCAGAGCCTCGCATGAATTCACCTTGTGTCTCAAGTACTCTCAAAGATTTTTGGGCAACACTGAAACGTCTTGAGGACAGTGTATCCATGTTGCGTTTAGAGTTTCCTGACCACTTTCAACCTTGTAGAAATAATGCGATGCTCATGGTGTTTGTAGATTTCAATCAGAACAACCACATCCCTGCAATTGAAGCGTCTCCACGCTGAACTACCTAAGAAACACTTGCCCAACACACCATGCAAAACGAATGAAAAAGAACTCCATGAGCTTCGGTTGGAAAAGCGTTTCCATGCAAAAAGCCTGCTATGACTTAAAACGTGCAGCCGTGACTTAAACCAGTCGCAACGTCTCCGAAACCGGGCCCTGGCGACATCAAACTGTAACCCTTTCGCTTGTAGCTGCCGAATCACTCTGTTTCTTTCACTCTGACTCTTAACCCTCTCGCTCCTGGGCTCACCCCTCCGAACATCGCCGCCGTCGACCCTCTCGTTCGGGTCGATCCTCTCAGCGGAAGCTCCGACGAGGCGGGGAACGGCTATAGCCCCGCCTCCACGGGGGGACAGAACGACTCCACCGCTCGGCGGAGTGAGAATGGCGACTCGGACCGTGGGGTTTAAACAGGCAGGGGGGAACATTGAAGGAGAAGAGGACAGGGAGTATGGCTAGAAGTCTGCTGAAGTCTTAGGCTCATCCAAAAGCCAGCGTTGTTTTTGCTGTTGTTGTGTTGTGTCTTATTTTTCCATTAAAACGTGCTTGTTGCTTCCTTATAACTTATGACTCTCCACTTGGCCACTTGGTATTCTACACACCCTTTTTTTGAGAAGGCCCAAATGGTATGGTTGCAAATGATGGATGCGAGAGTGATTGCCATCTTCTATTTCAAGATGGCCTCATTTTCTCCATGGTGGTTCCAACTCAAACCCAATTGAATTGCTTGGCCAGATGCCGATCAGCTGAAACCCAGGGGTGTTTTTTGATATACACTTGGACGGCTTGCAGCCCTGAAAACCAATAACGGCTTGCGGTTGAGTGGAACTCACTTCAAAGGCTTTGCCACACTCCCGAGAGATGGTGACATCGTCCGAAGTGGGCACATTCAGGACATGTACACCGGCGCCCTCCTGGATGGGAAGAACGGCAGCTGGACGTGGGAGGGTGGAGAGGGTCGGTATTGTTTAAAGAACAATAAACAAACAATAACATGTATAGTTGTTGATGTCTAGGTTTCTTCTTAGCATTGAGTTTGGAGGCTACTTGAATTTGAATTGGATCACTTTCTCTCCCCTCCAAGAATCATTGACGTGCACAAGGAACTGTTTGAGGAAGCTATGTCCGAACAGTGCTGTCCAATAGACCATTGCTGGTCATCACGGTTTGGATCACTTGAAGCGGTTGTTTGGAGTTAATGAGATAAACGAAAACAGCCAGGAGCCAGGGATCGCTTCAAGAACTTGGGGACTTCAAGAAGAATCGGTTTCTTTGTGGCGACGTTCCGTCCACCTTTGCCATGGACGTGACCCCACTGACCCAACTAATTCATGGGACCAAAGAGATTCGGATATTCGGTGAAAAGGGAGAACTGCACGAGCACCAGCAGAAGCACAGCTTCTCTTTTAGCAGAAGATGATAGAAGAGGAAGCCATCCTCGTCGTCAACCAGCAGACCAAAGAAGCAGTAACGCAAGGAGAGGGCTCAATCTTTGTGTTATGTATATATAATATATATATATAGAAACGTATAATAGATTCCCACTAATGATGTTTTGGAAAGCATGCCACGGTCATCTCTTTGGGGACCACTATCTCATAGACCCACGTTGATTCCGTTTGCTTCGCACCGTGGCTTCGCACCGTGGGGTGCGGGAGCGTGGCGCGGCAGGAAGCGGCTTCTGATCGCACTGTCGGCCGTCAGAAAGACATGTTGAGGCAAACATCGCTAAAGTCAAACGAAAAGGAACACATGCCTATAATTAAGCACATGAACAGAAAATAGACGTAAGTCCGACCTTGACCAGGACGACTTATAAGATCAGTAGGTCTTTCTGCAGTCGAAATGAACATCGAAGAAACAAAACCAGGGGCATTCTGCGGGAGTGAGACCTTCACCTCAGACCTTCACCGTCCACATGGGGTGACTGAGGTCGCGAAGGTCGCATGGGTCGACCCCTGAAGAGGCAGATGTCATGGGTCGCTGTTCCTTCGGGGAAAAGGTTTTTTGTGCCTCTCACATGACTATAGCTTGGGTCTGTCCAAACTTACTTGTAACAGTCAGTAACGAATGATTACTGTTCAACAAGGCCTGCAACTGAACCATCATCCACTGGGCCCAGGTATTATTATAGACCCAAACTATAGAGATCTACCACCTCTCAGAGCTGTGTTTCGGATCTGGGCCCAAGAAGGAGTGGGTAGAAGGAGTTCACTCTTCAGTGTTTGAGTGCACTGAAACAGGTGAAGCCAGAGACCCTTTCGGGTCCGGGTCCCGGTCCTGGACATTCCCACTGAAGAAAGAGATCACGGGTTGATTTTTGCGCAACTCCTGAACAGCAATCCCATCCATGATGGAGATGCTCCAGGGGGTCGCACCTTCCAAATATGTCCAAATCATCAGAGTGATGTTTTTGTATAATGAAGGTGTTCAAGTTGAAGTTAATGACAGTGTTTATATGTCCCAATCATCAAAGTTAAGTTTTTTTTTGTTTAATGATGTTTTATGTATAATTTGACATTAACTGCAATTTGAACACCAGGTTTGGGTGGATGAATGATGAACACCTATACTGGTTTGGGCACCCACTGCTTGAGACATGCCTGATTGCTCTTGCCAAGCAGGTTGCCAAGAAATAATGCCCTACTTATTGGGGGCAGAAATCCTGAATAGTCATGACCAAATGCCTTCTAGCTAGCCGCTAGCCTTTGGCACAGCAACTTGCCCAAAATAGTTTTCCCAGGTCTCATATAGATGCAAGAAAGATGCGATTTCCTGACCCAACTCTCAATTCAGGTTCAGTGGCATTTGTTTGTAGTTCCATGTAGTCCCAGCCTATTACGTGCATGTGATGAATAGGACAACTTAGGACATCAACTTTGCAAATCCCTTTGATGGTGCAATGTGTTCTGCTGCTGCACTCCTTGATTGATTGACTGGATTGAAATAGCACGGCACTTGGCCTCAGGAATTCCTATTTGGTGAATGGCTCCAACCGTCAACCCTCCACAGAGTGTTACCTCAGAGACTCATCGCAGGCGGCGCTGCCTCATTTGTCGCCAACCATCAGCCAATATCTCAGACCAGCCGGAAGTGCTTATTGTGCTTGAGGATGGTTCAGTGCGTGGTGGTACCCTCGTCATGTTCGGTTTTCGCTACGCCGTGCCCGTAGTTTATGTCATGACATCGATTCCAGATGACCTTGAGAATTGATGCCGGCTGTGTTCCATGGTTTGCGGCTCTATGAATGTTTGGATGAATCATGGGGTACAGAACAGCCTTGTATCCAATAATAGTTAGAGTTGGGGTGTGTCCCACTTCCAGTAACAGTCCCTAAACGACCATATTTTTGGGGGAATGGTTTTTACAGACAAACATCATCTACTGTGACCACTAATGGTATATACCATGATTTAGAGCTTAGTGTTCCCTATGCATCCCTATTCTCTATTTGATTGCTAGTTGAGGTTTGCACCCTTCAAACCCAGGGGTGAACTGTCTAAGACGGTTTTGAATTAATTTCACCGATTTTAACGGAAATAAATACACTTCAAAATATGCTATACTGAGTTCTTTGAGCTGATTCCTTGCATGAACCTCCCCCAAATCCTTGGATCGGCCCAGCTCAGATGTTCGAACGTGCCAAAGCTACCATGTACCACGGTGCAGTGTGTCGGATTTGCGCGATACAAACGATGCGATGTTTGCTTCCAGAGACTGCGTCCAGGTCCCTGGCGAAGGCTGCCAGGCGAGAGTGGAATGTGCGGAGCGGACGAGATGGACGTCACGGGGAGAGTTGGGGACTAGACTAGGATGGACGTTACGGGGAGAGGAGCCATCCAGTTTTCCTGAGGTGATCCAGCTAGATGTTTTGAGGTCACCCAGTTTTCCTCTATTTCCTCAGGAGAAGTGGATGTTTAGGACTGGTTTTGAGTCACTTTTGACAGTGATCTTCCCAGATACTATATTGACGTGTTGTCCAAGTCGAGCAGTACAACCACTGCCTGTTGCAAACTCCATGCAAAACAGGATAGTTCTTCTCAGAGATTTCAATCCAGTCCCATTTGCGGATGGCTTCGATTCCATGTTGTTCCTGCATCAAGATGACACGCTTGGCCATTGCTTGAGCTGCTTCCCCCCAAAAAGAGAGCTATAGGATGCTACAGGTATCTGTAATGGAACAAGAATGGAACTTGATTCCAGCTTTCCCTGCATCAAGACACTCATCGAATGCCAACGCCAAGCCCGTCCTGGCCCGTCCGGGCCCGGCCACCGGACTCCCCGCGCAGATGGGCCGAAGAAGCCGAAACGAGAGTTGAGGCCGAGCGCTTGAGACGAATGGGGATGGCATCCGGTCGTCGTTTTTCGAAGAAGCAATCTATATAGAAACTAAGGGCCCCCCTCAAAACGCCGGCTTTGGGGGATTGGCCCGGTGGCAGGAACTGAAACCGTACGAACATCTTGCCTCGAAACGACGCTTGTCCGAAACGACGCTTGTTCCTCTTAGGGGTGCATCTTCGGCTGATTTGGGCAGCTCGAAAGATCACCCAACCAGAACGTTTCTGCAGCACCATTATCTCTTTTAAGAGCTTTGTAGCACAGTGGACAGTGTAAACTGGTGACTGAAGAAAGCCCAACGGAAGCACCTTCACCTCGATCAGCTCTAACATTTAGAGCAATTTTCCTGACAACTTGGAACTGGAAGTGATCGCCGAAAGGTTGGAAGACGTCCTCAGGCTTTGCACTGAGGCTGCTGGCACAACATGGCTCCAACAGTTGTTTGGTGTCCTCGTTCTGCGTCAGGTGGTTGGCCTCCGGTCTGGCCCGGGCCCCAGGAGGACAAGCACTGAAGCATGATGACACATGTTTTTTGTTTGAGTTGGAATGGGCTGAACTTGGTGATTTGTAGTCTTTCAAGCATCCATGTTCAATGGGAGCATCAATTCATATATATATATATATATGTACATTCCATAAGGTCCTTGAGCAGATGGTCAAAATATGTCAACATAAATGTGCCATACCCTCTTTCTTCATCTTTTAGGTGTCTTTCTTTATCCAATGCGTCGATCAAACTCCCTCCAGTGGACTTGCGAAATACACATGGCACCTCATGGCTGCCGTCCTCCTCGCCTCTTCGGTCCGGCGGTCGCCCGCAGGGCTCGGCGTGGAAGGTCTTCGAAGCCTGGCGAGCTCAGCAGGCCTTGAAGTCCGTGGAGGCGACGTGGGACGACGTGGGCGCTACGGGTCCAGCGGGGACGGGTGGCGGACGGGTGGCGTGGATGGAGGGTGGAGGCCTGGGAGGTGGTGGGAGGGTCAACAATGGAAGACCTGCAGAGTTGGGGAGTTACGAGGCTCTTTTTGGATCCCTCTGTTGGAGTGCGAGGTGATCGATGATGATCTGACCAGGTGGCTGAGGCAAGTCATTGACCCAGTCCGCAACCGCCTTTGTCTCTCGCAGTCTTTCTATCATCACCTTGTGTCACTCGGCCTATCATCAACAGCAACGGCTTCCTTGACTGCATGCGCATCACAGCTTGTCTTTCAGACCTCGACGGACGTCGCGTGTGCTCACGACTGGACGTCGCGCGACGGCCAAACGACGTGCACGTCCTTTCGGTCCGACCTTGGTCCGAAGGCGTTCGATACACGTGACGTGGGATAGATAGATCCAAGATCATCCCCATGGGACCGGATTTGTGCCAGCTTCTTCAAAAGTGACCTTTCTATTTGGCGCTTTTCTTTGTGACCTCAAAAGCCGGAGATCAAGGTCGGTCCCTTTGAATAATCCGGTGTATTCCATACATTGAGTCCTTTTCAACTTTTTCAACCACTCCAGACTGGTCTCTGAGCTCTGAACAAACATCATTCCTTTTCCACCTCCAACGAAGCTCGGCTCCCAGGCCAATGATGCCTTCCTCGGCTCGCCGGACACTGAACACTGAGACCACACGAGTCGACCCCATGGACGACCCGAGAGGAGCGACGTTTCTGGTTGGATGGATGGATGGATTGTGTTTGGGACACCCAAGCAAGGTCCCGGCATTGTTGGGTTCTAGCATTGCTTTGACTTACTTGTCAGTGTCATCAACTTGCTCATGGCCAAGTCTTGAGTGGTCGACCATGCTGCCGCTCTAAGGTTGTGCAAGGGTCGGCTCCATTTCATGCTCGGAGAGCTCGATGAAGCACAGAGGCGCTCGGTCGGATGCATCACCAGATGTCCGTAACCGGGATGTCGGATGATGTCGGCATGCACCTTGACCATTCTAGACCTATAACCTATAACTGTCGGATAGAATATCAGTTGGCCCAAGGGTACAAGCGGTGCCCCATTGATCAATTGTTTAAAACATAGTGTTTTTTTCCTGGATTTTCTGAACAGGTGTGAAACAGATGATGCGATAATCACAGTCAAATCACGGTGATGTTCTTTTCATCAAACCCTCTTCTGAGAGTGTTTTCTCTTCGGCGCAGGATTTGGAGCGACATGTGCTCTGAGGAGCCAGGCCGCGTGGAAGGCTTGTTGGAACTGCCGTGGCACCCAGAGGCAGAGAATTGGAGGTACAAGTGTGTTGGTTCAAGTGATTTCAAGTCAAAAGGTGTTGGTTGAAAACATGTTGAAAGCATACCAGTGATTCATGGTGATTCCTTTTTCTTTAATACAGTCAGCCGCTTGAAGGATATGGGTACGGACTTGGGGTGAAGGAAGATGATGGCTTTTCATCCAAGCCGACTCTTTGGTCGAAAAAAAACATAAAAAACACACGCAAAAGCACCACAGCCCAGACGCCGCACCCAGCGAACCCTAAGTAGATAGCACTCAGATGCATACCCAGGAAGCGGCCCACATGGAACCTGATGGTATGGACCTTTGAAAGACTGGCTTCCTCCACAAACCAATGTTTTTCAGTTTCATGTTAATCTTCCAGGGCCAGTGCGTCTCTGAAATCTGAAAGCAGCTCTTGAGCTGTAGTTTTGGGGATGTAGGACACCAGGGTAGGCCATCCATAGCCAGCATCTCACTGGAAGAGCCATTTCCCGCAGCGCCCTCACACGTTGGACTTCCAGACCATTTCCCGCAGCGCCCGAAGCACGAGGTGGAGACTACACGATGCTCAAGAAGCTCACAAAAAGGCCACGGGAATCGATGTGTTTCGGGTTTTAGGGTTTTCGGGTTTTAGGGCTTGTTCAGTCAAGAAACTCAGTCAACCTGTCACTTGGGGTCGAAGGCGACCGCCAGGTCGTCAGGGGCTTTGTGGGATGAAGTCTCGGGTCCAACGTTTAAAGCCATGGGCAAGCTGCCCTGGGCGTGTTTGTTTTTTTTCAGAAAACTCGTGTGGTACCGGTGCAGATAAAGTATGTTACCTCCATGTTACGTTCCAGTCACGGAAGATTCTGGTAGAAAGAGCTGCTTTTTCATATATATATATATATTATATTTATTTATATATATATATATACATATTATTAATGAGTTTGGCAGTTGGGGCCGTGGTTGCGCAGTAGAATCCAGCGGTCCAAGGGTATAAAAAGAATTGCGTACGAGATTCGTGCAACGATCCATTCTCGGCACAGATTCTTCCAGGCGGTGCTGTGTGCACGGAAGGCGCTGGAGCTGACCACCAGCGAGTTGCAGGCAAGGAAGCCCCATCGGGTGAAACGGACTCTGATGCTGGTAGTTCAGTCGATTCATCTCTAGTGATGTGGTGCCAGGTAGTTTGGTCAATGCTTCAAGAGTCCAAGAATCAAGGATTTGTCACAGGTGAAGGTTTTGAAGGTATTAACCCCAGGGTCAACACCCTCCATAGGGGTCGATGCTTAGAGTGATGTATCTTCAAAAAACCATGTGCCTCCTGTTTTTGAGCGGATCAGGTGAAAACCGGAGAGAATTCCCAAACCTGGGGAAGATGTTTCATGTGTTTCCCCGGTTCCGGTGGAGCAACTCCGAGCCAAAAGTGCGTTGAGTGGCTGAAAGCTGACAAGCTGGCATCAGAGGTCCGGAGTTCTGGGCAGTTCCAGTTCCCAGGACACCAAGCAACGTATGAGATACTGGTGTTTGACAATAGCTAGGACTGAAAAGGGACATGTAAAGATGCATGCAAATACCTGGTAACCGTTTCCTCATTTTGAGACCCGCCCAGAATCACTAGACTGAGTACCTTCCTGTCCTTTTTCTCCAACAAAAGGTCGAGAATGGATATGTGTGTCGTTCATGGACAACCGAAGCTCTTGGACCACACACCCAGGGTGACTTGACTCTGAGACTGCACGCCAGGTTTCAGTCGAAGCGGAGATGATCTTCCATCACAAGGTGGGTCACATGGGGCCGCACCCGGCCGCATGGGTTCTGGGTTCTCAGTGGTTGAAAGCGCACTGTTTCGGTCGTCCCGCGGCTCAATCATCGGGCCGACGGTTCACCTGTTCCGGGGTCGACACATCGATGCTTTACGTCCAGACCATGCAGTGGAGCCTTGTCCGACTTACAGAGTTCACAGAGCTCACAGAGCTTGGATTGAATCAATCAAGCACTTGTTACTACTACTAGTTACTACTAGCTTCTTGTTACTACTAGTAAGGCACTTGTTACTAGT